ATCCGTAAAGTCTGTAAAGATAATACTAGCTACTACTTATTTTTTTTTAAATATTTTATTTATTTATTTACTTGAGAGAGAGAGAGAGAATGACGGGGGAGGGGCAGAGGGAGAAGCAGGCTTCCCGCTGAGCAGGGAGCCCGATGCGGGACTCAATCCCAGGACCCTGGGATCATGACCTGAGCCGAAAGCAGACGCTCAACCGACTGAGCCACCCAGGCGCCCCACCCCCAAGCTACCACTTATTGAGCACTTAATACTTTATATCCAGAGATGGGATTGACTGAATGAATCCAAAATCACCCTGTGAGGACAGTGCTATTATTATTCCCATAAAACGGGTGAGGACCTAGAGGCACAGAGGGGGAAGTAACTTGCCCAAGGTCACACAGCCAGATAACAGTGAAGTCGAAATGCAACCCCTGGCGGTCTGATTCCAGAGCCATGATGGAATCATGTTAGCCATGACATTAGGCCATAGTCATTCTTAACAAAGAGCCGTGATGGTAAATGATGGCGAGGCTTACCACAGGACAGCGTACAGTAATTAAAATGTGTACACAGGCATACCTCATTTTACTGTGTTTTGCTTTATCGCACTTCGCAGACACTGGTTTTTTACAAACTAAAGGTTTGTGGCGACCCTGCCTCAAGCAAGTCTATCAGTGCCATTTTTCCAAAAGCTTTTGCTCATTTGTATCTCTGTGTCACACTTCGGTACCTCTCACAATTTTTGAAACTTTTTTTTTTTGAGAGCGAGCATGCGTGCGCATGCGTGAGCAGGTGCGGTGGGGGGGGCAGAGGGAGAGAATCTTAAGCAGGCTCTCTGCTCACCATGGAGCCCAACTTGGGGCTCCATCTCACGACCCCGAGATCATGACCTGAGCCCAAACCAAGAGTCGGAAGCTTAACCGACTGTGCCACCCAGGCGCCCCTAAATTTTTTCATTATTATTTGTCATGGTGATCTGTGACCAGTGATCTTTATGTCACTACTGTAATTGTTTGAGGGCATCACAAACCACGCCCATAGAAGATGACAAACAATAAATGTGTGCGTTCTGACTATTCCACCCACCAGCCTTTCCCATTGCTCTCCCTTCTCCCTGAGACGCAACAATATTGGAATTAGGCCAGTTAACAACCCTACAAGGGCCTCTAAGTGTTCAAAAAAGTTGCACGTCTCACACTTTCAATCAAAAGCTAGAAATGATTAAGCTTAGTGAAGGAGACATGTCAAAAGCCAAGACAGGCTGAAAGCTAGGCTTCTTACGCCTCTTAGCAAGTTGTGCATGCAAAGGAAAAAGTTGCTGGAGGAAATTAGAAGTGTGGCTACAGTAAGCACATGAATGATAAGAAAGCAAAACAGCTTTAAAAAAAAAAAAAGCCAAACAGCCTTATTGCCGATATGGAGAAAACTAGTGATCTGGATAGAAGATCAAACCAGCCACAGCATTCGCTTAAGCCAAAGCCTATAGGGGCTAATGCAGCTGGTGACTTCAAGTGGAAGCCAGTGCTCATTTATCATTCCAAAGGCCCTAGGGTCCTTGAGAATTAGGCTAATCTACTCTGCCTGTGCTCTATCAGTGGAACAACAAAGCCTGGATGGCAGCACATCTGTTTACAACATGGTTTACTGAATATTTTAAGCCCACTGTTGAGACCTGCTGCTCAGAAAAAAAAAATTCCTTTCATAATATGACTGCTCACTGGCAATGCACCTGCTCACCCAGGAGCTCTGACGGAGATGTGCAATGAGATTCATGTGGTCTTCGTGCCTGTTGACACAGCATCTATTCGGCAGCCCGTGGACCAAGCAGTCATTTCCACATTGCCAAATCGTATTATTTAAGAATTGCATCTTGTAGGGCTGTAGCTGCTGTAGCTAGTAATTCCTCTGATGGACCTGAGCAAAGTACACAGAAAAGCTTCTAGAAAGGATTCACTCTTCTAGATGCCATTAAGACTATTCGTGATTCACAGGAAGAGGTCACAGTAGCAACATGAACAGGAGTTTGGAAGAAGTTGAATCCAGCCCTCACGGAGGACTCTGGGGGGTTCCAGACTTCAGTGGAGGAAGGAACTGCAGATACGGTGGAGACAGCAAGAGAGCTGGAATGAGAAGTGGAGCCTGAAGATGAGAATGGATTGCTGCAATCTCATGATCAAACAGGAATAGATGAGGAACTGCTTCTTATGAATGAGTAAAGAAAGTGGTTTCCTGAGATGGAATCTATGCCTGGTGAAGATTATGTGAAGATTGTTGAACTGACAACAGAGGATTTAGAATAGCACAAAAACTTAGTTCATAAAGCAGCAGCAGGGGAGGGGCGCCTGGGTGGCTCAGTTAAGCGACTTTTGATCTCGGCTCAGGTCATGATCTCAGGGTCATGAGATCAAGCCCTGCATCGGGCATGGGACTCCACCATATGGGGTCTGCTTGAGATTCTCTCCCTCTCTGCCCCTCCCCCTGCTCGCACACTCTCTCTCTCTCTCTCTCTCAATAAATAAATAAAATCTTTAGAAAAAAAAACAGGTTTTGAGAGGACTGACTCCCAATTTTGAAAGAAGTTCAACTGTGGGTAAAATGCTATCAAACAGCACCGCTTGCTACAGAAAAATGGGAGAAACTGTTTGTGAAAGGAAGAATCAATTGATGTGGCAAACTTCACTGTTGTCTTAGTTGAAGTTGCCACAGCCACCCGAGCCTTCAGCAGCTACCACCCTGATCAGTCAGCAGCCATCAATATCCAGGCAAGACCCTCCACCAGCAAAAAGATTACAACTTGCTGAGAAGTTCAGGTGATGGTTAAGCATTTTTTAGCAATAAAGTTTTTTTTTTTAATTATGTGTTTATATATATATGCCATTTTATTTTTTACATACTTTATACATATGCTAGATCTTAGAATGCTATTGCACACTTAATAGACGGTAGTAGAGTGTAATCATAAGTTTTCTACACACTGGGAAACCAAAAATTAATTCGACTCACTTTATTGTGATATTCGCTTCCTTGATGTGGTCTGGAACCCAACCTGCAATCTCCCTGAGGTATGCCTGTATTTATAAAGGATATTTTAATGAAATGTGGAAGGACTTACGTTCAAGTATCTTAGGAACACAAAATGATACATATATGATCTCAACTCAAAAATGCCTTCTTAGAAAAGAGCTGAAAGGAATATATACGTATGTATTTAAGATCAATAAAGGGGTGCCTGGACGGCCCAGTTAGGCGTCTGGCTCTTGATTTCAGTTCAGGTCATGATCTCGGGGCCATGGGATCGAGCCCCACGTCAGGCTCCGCACCAGGTGTGGAGCCTGCTTAAGATTCTCTCCCTCTCCTTCTGCCCCTACCCACGGTCTTTCCCTAAAAAATATATATATAAATAAAAATAAAATAAAATATATAAACATATCTGACATGCAGATGATGAGCAAATACTTGTTGAAACTGGTGGACTGTGAGTGGGCTTTTTTCTTCTTCCCATTTTTCTAGTTTCCGAATTTCTCTAAATGAAAATTATTTTCTTTTCAGACAGGAAAAACTATTATGGCCTTACCATTGTCAAATTATTTGCTCTCAGTAAATGCTTAAAAGAGAAATTTCTGAGAAACTAAAAAACCAGAAGCAAGTTGTTTTTTTAAAAGAGGGAGAGGTTGCTAAGAAACTCTTTAAATTGGTCATCTCCTGAGGGCTAGGCCTCAGCACACACTGAGAACATTACAAAGGATGAGAACATGGAATGGATCCTGTTGTATGGAAAAGCCGAGTTCCTTGGGCAGACGAGGCTCGGGGTGGGGGTGGGGAGCCCTGGGTCGTGAGCCCCCTGCCTTCCAATCCCCACCTGCTCCTCCTGGGGCTGTTTCCCGAGCCAGAAACCGGCCAGCATGGTACAATCTCTTGCTCAGCATTCTGCTCTCACATGTGGTTTTAGCATCTGTAAATGGCTAGAATGTATTTGTGAGTGATGCCTTCTGGAGACGGATGGGGAGCCCTGGTCTTGGCCAGGCATAAGCCTGGTGGCTAGCGGCCCTCAGGAGGGCTTCCACCCAGGGGTGCCGGGTGAGGTGCCCATGTGCGGTCTGCCAGGGAGAGGCGGGGCTGGGGCAGAGCAGGCTGACAGGAGGGGAGGAAGCCAGCCTCCGGGTCCCTCACCAGGCCCTCAATTACTCACGCTCCTGCTGTCCCAGGGCTAATTGTTTCTGAAGCGCCAGCCCATCCATCGCCCTACTCAGCAGCTGCAGGCTTCTCTGTCACCAACCCAAGACCCTGCACAGCATAGGTCACATTCCACTTTTCTCCTTTACTCAGGCAGCACACTCCAGCAACCTCTTTGTCCAAGGAGGTGGTCCAGAGATTATGCATGAAACATGGACCGGAGCCAAGTCACTTAGGTGCCTGGGGGGCTCAGTCCTTAAGCGTCTGCCTTCAGCTCAGGTCACGACCCCAGGGTCCTGGGATCAAGCCCGACATCATCGGGCTCCCTGCTCAGCGGGAAGCCTGCTTCTCCCTCTCCCACTCCCCCTGCTTGTGCTCTCTTTCTCTCTCGCTCTCTCTCGCACGTGTGCGCAAAAATAAATAAAACCTCAAAACCCCGATGTCCCAAGTTTGAGAACCACTGGCCTCAGGTCAGCTTGCTTGTAAGTGCGGATTCCCACATTTACCCAGCTGTCCCGAGAGGCTGGAAGTGAGGCAGTAGGAGACGCAAGGGATGCTAGTCCTCAAACTGGTATGACAGGAATGTGCCCCAGACCTGGGGCCAAGTGCCCACTTCAGAGGGGGCAGACTGGACAAGGGCCTGGGGCAGCAGATGCGTCCCTGGTGGGCCCCTCCTCTTACCCAGCTTCCCCAGTCCGTTTCTGCATTCACAAACACCCATCAGCCAAGCCCAGCCACTCCCCTTAGGATCTGCTGCCCCTCTGGCCACAGTGCCCCTGGGTCCACCCTCCGCCACCACCCCCATGGCTCTCCCTCTCCGAACACAGATCCCACCTGCCTCATTACTTAAATAATCTTTATTTCTCATGCACTAGGAAAGATGGGATTGTATGAAACACTGCATTTCACAGCAAAGGCCTCAGTCCAAAACACAACACAGGGGACCAGGTGGATTCAGGTCTGGCCAAAACTCTGGGGACCATCGTGGGGCTACCACCCCCAGGGCTGGTGACAGATTCAGGACCCTCCAGCTGTAGTGGCCCCAGACACAACACAGGGCAGCTACCCCCTCCCACAGAGGCCCAGGAAGCTGACACCAGAAGAGCATGTGGACCAGAGAAAGGACAGAGGAAGCTGCTAGGCAGTGACGTGGTGGAGGCAGTGGTCCAGCGCCGCTGAGGCCCGAGTCCAGGCCGCCAGGGCTGTGACTGAGCTCTCCGCCCAACTGTGCTCACTGGAAGTGCTGGAGTGCCACAGACCCCCGGCAGATACACACGGGCCCCACCTGCCTGCTCCTCAGCCGCACACACAAGACGACATCTGCCCAGATGGGACCCCAAAGGCTAGAGGGGCCAGCCCCCTTCAACCATCCCTAGCCCCCGTGGACACTTAGACGCCCACCGGACAGCCAGGCTTCAGAGGTTCCTGGGACAGGGCCATGGGCAGGGCAGCCAGCAAACCTGGGCCATCAGGTACCATCCGAGCCAAGACAAGAGCAAAGCAGATTCTGGGCACCACTTTCCGGGAGGTGGCACCGGGACAGATACAGGTTGGAGACATGCAGGACAGGACAAAGAAGAACGGACACATGCAGACGTGACAGGGCAGGAGGGGTCTGAGGATAAAACGTGGTCAAGGTGCTGAGCTGCGGGGGCAAGGTGGGCCGGGCTCACTGAGGCCCCGGGCTTGTCATGACCCCGCTCTCCTCAGGGATGGTCTCCAGCATCTCACTCTGGACAGCCTGTGTGATGAGAGCCAGCTCCTGGCACAGAGTCTCATAGCGGTAGCCCACACGGATGTCCGGCACGTTTGTACGGCGGATATCATTGCCCTCGGGGCCCTCCTTGGTATAGTTGGGTCCCAGCCAGTGGCTCTTCACCTACAGTGGGCAGCGGTATCAGACAGGGCCGCAGCTAGCTTTGAGGGGCCATGCCCCAGGCCTGAACCATCCCAGGGCCAGCACCCCTGGCACCTCCCCAAACGCAGAGGAGGAGAGGGTGGATACCAGGCTGCAGACGGGTGGGGGTGGTACCTTGTGGGAGAAGCCGCTCATGAGCACGCTGTTGCGGGCCAGCTCACACATGTCGCAGGAGCTGAGCTTCCACACCTGCGTGGCGATGCTGTACTCCTCCATCAGTGGCTCCTGCACAGGCCAGGTGCCCTCAGACGGGAGCACGCGGGCCTGCCACCCAGTCCCCGTGCACCTGTCCTTGCGCCACCCCCCCGCGCCCCTCCCCCTTCTCGGCAGGATGGCAGGATTTGCCCCAGGACGTGCTGCACTCCACCAGCAGGGGGCAGCACCAGCGCCGAGCCCCAGGGGCCTGGGGGGGCCTGGGTGCCCTGGGCGTCCCAGGACCACCTGCGGCCGGGTTCTGACCTTGGTGAAGTGGAACTGCAGGGGATCATCAGTGGACAGCGAGACCATGAGCCCGCGGGACAGGTACTCGGGGAGCGGGTTCCGGTGGTAGCTGAGGAACAGGCTGTTGTTGCTGAGCGGAGACATGGCGATGCCAATCTGGGCCAGGTAATACAGGTACTGCAGGACTGGGGCCTGTGTGGGCAGCGGGGAGGGGCCTGTCAGGCGGCCTCAAGGCTGGGGAGGACACCTGGCTCTGGGGTGGCAGGCCACAGTGGAGGGGGCGGGGAGCCCAGCCTCGGCCTCACGTACAGAGGGTCATTTACAGCCAAGATCCAAGCAAGGGCCGCAGTGTGGGGGCTGGGCTGTGCAGGGGTCCAAACTGGGGGTTTGGTGAGGAGAGAGATCAGTTGCTGAAGAGGCTCGAAGGGTTGAAAGGGAGGTGAGCGACTGGGAGGGGAGGCTGGGGGTGCAGGCCCTGACCTTGCGCAGAAGCAGCCCGTGAGAAATGTTCTCGGCCAGCATGAAGGCCGACACCAGGTGGTGGATGGGCCCCGCTTCCCCACAGTGTGGCCTCAGCACAAACGTGTGGAAGCCCCTCTGCCTGGGGGCAGAAAGACAGCGTCAGCTCCCCAGCCCAGGCTCCCAAGCCCCCCACCCGGTGACCGCCTAGACCTGGGACAAAGCGCCAGGGGCAGATTCTTGGCTGTGAGGGCTGAGCCCAGAAAGAACTCCCTGGGTCCAGGAGTGGGAGCAAGGGGTGGATCGGGGCTCCGGTGGCCCCAGGGCAGGGGGAGCAGAGACACCACACTGGAGGAACAGGCACCTGCGCAGGTGGTTCAGCATGGCCATGTTGGCAAAGGTGTAGTACAGGTAGTAGGCATAGGGTGGGTTGTCCTCCTCCACCCAAGCCTCGGGGAGAGGGCTCTCCAGGTTGAAGACGTGGTTCTCGGGCTTAGACTCATCATCCACGCTGTCAAAGCCATCCACCTGGCCCAGAATGCTGGGGTCAGGCCCGGAGCTGCAGCGACCCGAGGCAGGCCGCCCTCCCCCTCCCCTGCCCCATGCAGCCCCCTCACGTGCTCCAAGAAGAGGTGCAGCTCCGGGTGGCTGGCAGGGTGCACAGTGGCCTCAAACAGTGGCAGGAAGATGTTCTCCAGCATCTCCTGGAAGTTGGCTAGCTGGCCCTTTGTACGGTACACGTCGCTGCAGGCAAGACGCGCGTACACACGGGACGTGCGGTCACCAAGTGTCAGAGCCCGGCCCGCACGCACCGAAGCGCTTCTGCACGACCCTGGGTGGGCCAAGCTGGGCAGACCACGAGCGGAACCAGGGGGTAGCCCTCCCACTCAGAGGGCTCGGCTGGGGCGGGGGAGGACCCGCCACCCTGGGCAGGCAGGAGGCAGATGCTGTCTCCTTGAACCCTGCCACCCATGTTCCCTCCCGCTCTGAGGGACACTCACAAGAGGCGGGGCACTTGCACGAGCCAGCGCACATTGGGAGAGTGTACTCGGTGCTTCACGGCCCAGAACGCCAGCTTGTCCCACTCGTCCCTCGAGCGCCCATAGATGGAGAGCCGCAGCTCCGCGTTCTGGTATTTGCTCTCCTCCAGGTCAGACATCACTTCCTGAAAGACACGCAGGGGTGGGGGCGGGGGGGGGCAACCGTCACACCCACCTACCCGTGACACCCGGCTCCCATATGGTCAGGGGTAGGGTGCTCAAGGCTCTTGCTACCCCGGCACATGGGCCTGGGCGGTCCCTCCTCCTCACCTTGATAATGTGGGCAAAGTACTTTCCAGAAACCCTATTGTCGGTCTTGATGAAGATCTCTCGGAGGACAGACTCCCCAATGGGGTTGTACTTGGCATTGAACTTGTCAAAGCGATGGAAGGTGTTCCTGTCCTGGGGAAGATGGGCAGGCCCAGGTCACCCCTGTCCCTGGGCCACACACTGACCCAGCTCCTCAGCCCCTGTGCCAGTGAGACAGACCGCGTGCATGTCCAGCGTGTCCACACTCAGGTCGTAAGCAGTGAGATTCATGCTCTCAAAGACCTCCCGCAGCGTCTGCTCGCGGCCCTGCTCCACGTGCACGATCTCCTCCAGATGTCGCTTCATCGCGCGTTTGATAAAGCGCAGCAGATGCTTCTGGTTCATGCAGGATGAGGCATGGATATGTGTGTCCACCTGGGGTGCAACAGGGGGCCGCTGGGTTCCCTGGAGGCCAGTCCACAAGGGAGGCCAGGCAGGGGCACAGGACCGGACATGTGGGGAGGGCCCACCTTCCGGATGTTGTAGAAATCTCGGTGTGGCACCTTCTTCTGGGCGGCCAGCTCCTTCATCTCGTTGAGCAGCACGTGCATCTGGAACTTGGAGCTCAGGTACTGTAGGCGGCGGTAGCAGAAGGACTTTCTGGACAGGGAGAGAACAAGGCAGGGGCACTGAGCCACAAGCAGAGAGGGGAGGGGACAGGACTGAGGCTGCGGGGGTGGGGGGAGGGGAGACGGAGGGAAAGGCTAGGTCTCGGTGACTGTGAAGGGGTGAGAGGTGGCGGCAGGTGTTTGCAGCAGGGCTGCAGCTGGGCATTCTGGGCTGGAAGGGAGCCAAGTGTCTGGGCCAGGCAGGGACTCACATGGGGCCATTGATTATCAGGGCCATCAGCACATTAACATCCGCCACAAATTCCTGCAGGTCAGGGTACGGCAGCTCCACCTCTGGACAACTGGCAGATAAGAGGAGCTCAGGTGAGGGGAGCAAGTCATGCCCCGTGGGCCCTCCCAAGCTGGGGCAGCCCCCACACAGCTCTCCCCTCAGCACTCCCCACACCCGCTTACTGCTCATTAGGTTCCCTGCGGGTGTAGACATGCACCACGCCCTGCACCATGCGCAGGCCCAAGCCCAGGTCCCCAGGCATGGTGCTTGGCTCACAGTACTCATAGGGGTGCTGCTCCAGCGCAGGGGGGTGCACCGGGGCATCTGCAGGGTGGGGAGGGTGGAGTCAGGGCCAGGGCTCTTCCAGGCCACCTGCTGCCCAGCCCAGAGGCCCCACAGAGAGGGAGAACTCCTGCCCCTGCCTCCACCCACCATGGGCCAAGGGGCTGGCATGAGCCTGGGTGGGGGAAAGCAGGCAGGGTGGAGGTTCCCAGGCACCAAAGCTCAGGGAGTCGGGGACACCAGGGCTCTTGGAGCAGGGCAGGGATGGGGAGTCCCACCAGCGGACACGGGGGTGTCGGGGCCCTGCTCGTAGGTCCGTGTCTCCAGAGGCTTCTCAGCCAGCTGCTGCAGGTACCGGCGGGTGGTGGGGCAGAAACTCTGCAGCGACAGGGCCATGTACTTTTCCCGGATGAAGAGTGCCCGCACCACGCTCTTGGCTGCATCCAGCAGGTCTGTAAATGGCACCTAGAGCCAAGACATGGGGTCACTCTCCTTGCTCTCAGACCCAGACCAGGCTCACCCTCACCCCTTCCCCGAAGCCTTGACCCTGGAAACAGCGCATCAACTAGCTCCCAGCCACAGACCCTTTGCCCGCCCCCCCGCCCCAGCTTTTGGAAAGAGAAATGCCCTCTCTAGGCCGCACCCAGCTCCCAAGCAGGGGGAGCCCACGGGCACTCCTGGAGTCAAGAGGCGTAGAGACCCAAGGCCCTGCCCACACTGACCCCACACTTCTCCTCGCCGGTGATGGTGACCCGCTGAAATTCCCGCTCTAGCACCACGTCTCGCTCCCGCAGGCCCCGGTCGCCTTGCCCCTCGCCCTGCTCCTTGTAGAGCCTACGAGTGGAGAGCACAAGGGAGGGGGCTGGAGCCAGCAGCAGGACAGGCCCCACAGCCCCACAGCCCTCCGCGCCCCTCTGCCCTCCTCACTGGAGGTCCGAGGCACTGTCTGTCTTCAGGAAATCTTGCTTGGCCCGAAGCAGGATGTCCGGCTCCAGCCTAGAAGGGAGAGGGGCAAGAGGTCAGGCCGATGACAAGGGATGGCCCTGGCGGTCAGGTCCCTGCCCCGTGCCGGCTGCTGTGCCCCTGTTGTTCCTCGTGGCCCCGTGGGGCTGTGGAACCCTGCACTGTGGCTGCTGTCCGGCCCCCACGTTACAGATGAGAAAGCCCACCCAGAAGCTGAGCGACACATTTTAGGCCACACGGGTGGGTACAAGACAGAGGGAGAACCCAAGAGCCTGCCTCCAAAGCCTGCACTTCGTATCACTGGTCGATGCTCCCTCCCCAGCCGGTCCAAGGGAGCACAGGAAGGGAGAGGGACAGAGACGGGACTCTGAGAGTGTCCCAGTAGAGAGAGAGGGACCCTGGGCAGACCACCCCGTGTCCCCAGCCCCGACCCCACAGCAGCCTGGCCGTGCCCCCTCCGCCCATGGCTGCCTGCTGGACTCTGGGCCTGGGGCCTTACTTGACATCCTGGCTGATCTGCCTCTCCAGGCGCTGCCTCCGCTCCTCCAGCTGCTCGATGGGGCTCTCCTCGGGGAACTCGTACGGAGCGCTGCGGAGCTCGCTCTCAGCCAGGGAGCGGCTGAACAGCTCCTGGTGGGAGGGAAGGCAGTGTCGGTGTGCCAGGCCCTCCCTTGCAGAGTCTTAGGATGGGGAGCTGCAGGTACCTGGGAGAGGCTAGGGATTGGGGCACAGCCAAGCGTGGAGTAAGGGGACGGCTGAGATGGAGGGGTGTGGGGAGCAGAGCCAGGGCAGTGGAGGGACATGGGGTGCGGTGCCAGGCGATACCTCGGCGATCTCCTTGCATTTGCCATCCATGGACGTGCGTAGGTCGAGTGGGAAGTGCTTGAGGCAGGGGGCAGGGCCTGGCAGGGATCGGGCAGACTGCAGCGGAGGGGCCCCCAGCCCACCCCGAGCCTCTGTGGAGACAGCGATGCCAGGGTCAAAGGGTGGAGGGCAGGGCCTGCGTGCACTAGAAGCCCTGGGCCCCTGCACACCCCAGGCCTGTCCCAGAGAGAGGCCAGGGTCCTGGAAAGTGGCCAGTCCCTCCTCAGAGGCTGAGGATCGGGCCTGCATGTGGCTCCCAAAGGACCTCACCCTCACAGTCTAGCACGGTGCCCCTCAGCCATTCCAGGCTCAGGAGTGGGGGGCTCCCGAGGCCTCTAGAGTGACCCACTGCCTCAGGGAGCAGGAGACCTCCCACAGGCAGGCACACATGTACACACACACACACACACACACACACACACACACACCTCCCGGGTGCTCATTAAGGACCTGGTGGCCGGGCCCACAGCTTCCAGGGCAGGCAGGCCAGCCCGGATCAGACCTGCTTCTGGACCCAGCAAGCCTCCTCTCGGAACCCCAGGGCCTGCGCCCGACATCCCAGACCTACAGAGCACGAGCAAGTCGCATCTGCCACTCAGCTCTGACCTGGGGACCAGACCCCAAGGGAGGAGGAGGAGGGGAAGTGGAGGGCCTAGTTGGCAGCAGGAACCCTACCTCCTCCCCAGTGGCGTGCCCTCTCCCCCTGGACCCCAGGGCGGCCAAGATGTGGCCCGGCCCCCGGCTGCCCCTCCCACTGCTGGCTGCCCCTCCAAAAGGGGACTGCCACAAACAGTCTGCGCCACTCAGAGGCCCCAGGATCTGGGCCGGAGGCCCCAGGGAGGGCCTGGGGAAGGGATTAACAGAAGCCAGGGCCTCTCCACATGGAGGGCAGAACTCCTCAGCCGCACCACCAGGAGGCTGGCACTAAAGGCCTCGAAGCTGCTAGTCTAGAGGGGCTGCCTGAGCTCCCAGCCAAGTCAGACCCTCCCTGGGCTACCAGCCCCACCCTCCCCACCAGGAAGCTCTCCACACCAAACTGGGCTCTCCTAGCCTGCTCTGAATGGTGCTCCCTTCCAGCACGCTCCTTTCCCCTCGGCGCCGGGTCTTAGGGATGGATTGGAGGCTCTGCCCAGGTAGCATGCCTTAAAGTCTGTGGGCTCACTTCACGATCCCCCAGAGTTGGGTCCCAAGGCTGGACAAAGGGAAGAGGAGGTGCCTGCCCTAGATCCAGGACCCAGCCCCCGCTCTCCCTGGTGCCGGCCTGGATCCTACCTAGAGTTCAGGCAGCTCCAGCCAGCAGCCCTGTGCCCCTGGCCCGCCGGTTTGCTGAGTGGGGCTGTAGCCAGTCCCCCAGGACAGCTCAGGGGCCGGCACGGGCTGTACCAAGTGCAGCTGCATGCAGGGGAGACCCTAGGAGGACAGCAAGCAGGGGGCTAGGGAGGCCCAGGGGAACCAGAAATCAAGGGAAGGAGCATCAGAGTTGGGAGATCAGAGGAACCTCAGAAGGGAACAGCTTTAACCTCTACTGTACCAGGGCCCAGCCTAAAGTGGAGCCCCCAAGGGGGTGGAGCGGGGTAGGCTGACCCGGGCAGGGCAGTCTGGCTGGGAGGGGCCGGGCCTCCTTAAAACACACTACTCTGGGGAATAGTGAGTGGGTAGGGCCAGGGTGGCCAAAGGGGTGGGGGGAGAAGAGGGGACAAGCAGCCTGAGCAGCCCTCCCCTCGGTACACAACAGCCCCAGGCCAGCTTCCCCTGCCCTGTGGCCTTGTTTTGCTCACCACTGTCCCCTGGGTCCCTGGGGACAGACAAAGCCTCTTCCAGGGACAGAAGTTGGCTGGCAGTGAGGGAAGTGACTCAGTCCCGGTAGGGACCAGGTACTGAGCTTCTCTGCTGCCCATGGGGCCTGATTCATGGCTCCCCAGACCTCCAGCCTCCTCTCGAAGCCTATCGTCGGGAACAAACCGTCCAGGAGGAGAAGTGTGGGAGATAAGGGACTAGAATTTGAAGGACTTGAGTCTGACTCTATTCCCACTTACTAGCATGTCTCTGCCTCCCAGAGGCTTCAAGTCCTGTCTATAATGGGGTGATAAGCAGGTCCTGCCCTGTCTACCCACCCGCTGCCGTACGGCTCATAGCGACAGAGCTCTGCAACTGTTGTGTTAAACACCATTCTCTGCGATTATGAACTCCCAGGACGCTCCAAGCACTTACCACGCACAGTCCAACCTTCTAGAGAGGGTGGGAGGTTCTCGGGCCCAGGGCAGGCCAGCACAACCAAGCAGTGAAGGGTAGCAAAGAGAACGGAATTTGACAGGGGTAGAGATGGGGCTTGACACTATCTCATACTCGCAAGAGGGCAGAGCAGGAAGAGAAAAGAAAGATGGGCACCTGCTCAACACCCAGGGTGTAAGACGGAGCCTGCTGTCCTTGCCTGCCCAAGAGCCCCGGTCTTACACAACTCCTGCCTTCCAGACCCGGGCAGGGGAGGCCGCTTGCAGACCTCCAGGGCTGGTCTCTATCAGGTCAGCAGGAGCTGAATTGAAGGTCCTAATCTCAACCTCCCGCCTTAGCAGGGTGGCCCAGGACCTCCACAGAAGCACTGCGGTGACCAAGGCAGGCTCCAGCAGCCAGAGCCATTCCTCCAGGCCTGCAGGCCCCTGCCCGGGGTTCCGGGGCTTCATTAGAGGTGACAGGCAGTAGCCTCCACACTCCCTGAGGCCAGGCCTAGAAGACCCAGCTTCCTGCCTGCTGGTCCCTTCCCCAGAGTCTGTGCACTGCACCACACACACAAGTAGTCCACCAAAAGCCAGAGGGGCCTGCTCCCACCAACCAACCTCATCTACCCTCTGACCAGGCGCCCCCTCACTCACTGCCAGGACTGCCTCAGTCGAAAGGCAGAGACGTGCCCAAGGCTTCGACCCCTAAGTCTCAGATGCTCCCACCGAGTGACCACCCAAAGATGTACAGATCTAGCCCCAGGGGACACACTCTCTGGAGGGCCCAGACCTGAGCACAGAAAACACAGACCCTCAGGCCAGCACTGACCTCTGGGCAGTATTTTCAATGGCATAAGAAAATACAGGAGATGGATGGTCAGGCTACAGGTACAGATAGCTGCTGAGGGAAGGGGAAGAAGACACTGGCTTGACCCGGTTACCAAAATGGGAGGCGGGGGTCCTTCCTTAGCCACAAGGCCTGGGGCAGCAGATGGCAGGTAGATATCCCTCAGCAAGCAGACTCAGGCAGCCTAGCCCTCAGGAACACAGCCACACCATGCTGCCTGCTCCAAATGGTGCAGAGATGCCTACCAGAGTGGGAGGCAACCCAAAGGGTGCAGGCGCACACAAGCAGGCAGCAGCCCCAGCCCGAGCCCCAAAAACAGACCCGGCCCAAGGACACCCCACACTTCCAAGGAAGCCCACAAGAAAAACCAGGAATGGACAAACAGCAAATGATGGCCACCGTTGAGCCCCCAGCCCCTGGGATGCCTGGTGGCAACGAGTGTGCCCTAACGTCAGACCCCACCCCGCCCCCCAGGAAAGGGATTCGAGATCTGGGGTCCTAGAAATAAGAACTAAGCACAGGAGGACGCCTGAGCCTGCCCGGTAAAGACACAGCCGCCAGCAGTGTGGCCAGCCCACAAACCAGCCAGTCCCACACATCTCCCTCTCCATTCACACACACGCTCCGCATGCACACAGTCTTAGCACATCCGCACGCTGACACGTGTGCAAACACACCTCTTGCTGCACCCACATCTGCTCCCACTCCTCATTACAGAGGGCAGCACCCCCAACACAGAACCTGTCACCTGCCACCCCACCTCCCAAGCCAGCTGTCCCTGGGACCGAGGACAAGGATGGGCATCACCCCAGAGGGGGTGCAGTGGCCTGGGCCAGCAGTGGTCGGGCAGAGCCAGCGCCTGAGGCCAGGAAGCACACACTCACCTGGTACTGCAGAGGAGGCCTGCAAGCTGACCCGCTTCTTAAAGGGATATTTGGCCTTGGGGTTGCTGGGGCCAGATGGGTTGGATGCCATGGCTCGAGCGGCGGAGATGGCGGGGGGAGTCTGAGCCGCACCAGCTGGGCCTCGCTCTGCCACATCCAACCCCTTCCTCCGCCCCGCCCCCAGCGGGAGTGACTGATGCAGGAAGCAGAAGCCCCGCAGGCGGAAGAGGCCCTGGCCACGATTTCTGATGTTGTCTAGGCAACCTCGGGCAGGGGGGCCTCCATCCCCGCCTCTTATCCCCTCCCTTCCCTCCTCAGACCCTGGAGTGACGCGACTGCTGCTAGCTGGGACTGGGGGGCGGGGGGCGGGGGTGGGGGCTGGAGGGGGAGGTGAGCAGACAAGATGGGGAAGGGCCAGCTCCCAGCACTCCACTGACCCCTTCAGGAGCCCTTGCCCCTTGCCAAGGCTCTGGGGCACAGGAGTCAAAGTCCGGGCTAGCTGGTCCAGCCAGCATGGGGGAAAAAATAATAATAAACAGGAATCCAGCGCGAGGTCCCCCAAGCTCAGAACACATTGTCTCAGAGCAGGCGTACTGCGTGAAAACCCAGACCCTCTGGGGCACAGTCCCCTTTTCTCTTCTCTGTCAGGCTCCCAGCCCCAGGGTAGTCCAGCTCTGGGAGGATGGGGGTAGAACTGAGAATGCCGGCCCAGTAGGGAGGAGCCTGTCTTGGGAAAATTCCACTGGCCGGCAGAAGCTACCTTCTGGGAAGGCAGGAGGCAGGGGCTTCTCTGGGGGGGCTAGGAAAGAGCCCCCAGCAACTTCTGACTTTTCTGTCTTTTCGCACTCAGGCTCTGCTCTCCCAGGCCCGCCCCGGGAGGAGACGGCCACCTTCCCTAGGTCTGCAGGCTGTGCTGAGACCCCCACCCTTTTGTCACCCTGCCCATGCACTTCTCTGTCCCAGAGACCCCCCCACCCCCGACAGGCGCGCACATACACTCACCTGAGGCCATGCTGCCCGAGCCCGCAGGGGTATCAGGGAGGCTGCCCGCCAGGGTCTGCCCAGCCGGGAACCGGGGGTCGCAAAAGAGGGGAGGAGGGCCGGGACCCCGACCCTGGCCCAGTCGCTCCGAGGACCCCTGCCCTGGCACTGCGATGGAAGGAGTAAGGCAGTCTTTCAAAATTGCCCGGAGGCGGGAGGTGGACCCCGGCAGACCTCGGCTGCTGCACTGGCCTCGAAGACCCCGGAGTCCCGACCCCCAGCTCTCTGCTCAAGAGGCGAGCAGGCCACGTGCTTCCCAGGGAGCAGGACCCGGAACTCGTCTGATCTTCTCTCCACACTCTGGGTGTTCGGGATCGGACTACCGTAGCTGGACTGTCGGGGAGTCACGCAACAGGTGCGACCCCATCAAAGCCTCGCCAGCTCCACCGAGCTTCTCGGCCGCCCAAGGCCCCGCCAGATCCGCGGCCCCGCCCCCGCCGGGCAGGCCCCGCCCCCGCCGTGTTCCGCTTCCCCGCGCCACGTGGGCAGCCGCCACTCGGCAGTTGGCCGGCCGGGTCTTGGGCAAGTCCTGTGCGTCAGCTTCCTCATCCATGAAATGGGTGGTGTAATCGCACTCGAGAGAGTTACTGTGAGCATTAAATCTTAAGCACCTTTTCACGGTGCCTGGCACTAAGTCGGTGGCCAATAAAAGATAACTAGTAGTGTCTCAAGATTAATTCACTTTTAGAAGTCCTACCCCGGCATTCTCACTCTGGGTCGTCCGTTTTCTTCTGGCAGGCGTAGATAAACAGGGTGTGCCCTGCAATTCTGGCGCCCCTTCCCGCATTTACTTCTATATTTATTGGTTAAAAGCTTAGGCCCTATAGCCAGAATGCGTGGGTTCAATTCCATACTCCTCCATCTACTTAGTGATTGACGTTGTTGGGAAAGTTACTGGACTCAGTGCTCTATTTCATTTGGTGAATGACTGTAAGAGACCCTGCTTTGTATGGTGGTTAAGATAATTGAGTTAATGTAAGTCAAGTGTAGACTAATGTAAAACATTGCCTGGCATGTAGTTACTACTCAGTGTCTGTCTTATCCTTCCTATGTCCTTGGCCTTGGTTCCTTGTTGACAACCTCACACGGTAATGATTCTCCTTGCAGCCTATAAGGAGTGGAGTTGGGCTCTTTGGGGGGACTGCAGACCCCCCACCCAACCAGCACCCCCACTGCCAAGTGACAGAGAATCCTACCTAAAGGGAACTTGGGAGGTGGGGTGCCTAAGAACTGAATATACTATGTGTATTAGCAGCAATTAATCTTTTTCCTATTTCTCCACCTTGTGGGAGCCCTTTGTGCCCCCACCCAGTTATACTAATGCTGTTTGTCCAGCTCCTCCCAGTTCTCACCACCCCCACAGCCAGATTCCTTCCCAAACCCTGCCTCCCCCACCTCTCCCCAAGCTGGATTCTGGACCCTGAACCCTATTATCCCTGTGTATCTGGTGTCGCCTCTATCGATCTCTTCCTGCTGCTCCTCACCGATCTCTTCCTGCTGCTCCTCACCGTGGGCAAACTCAAAAAAACATGGCCTCCATTGACATGGTAAAACAAGGGAAATGCCATGTTTACCCACAAAATTAGCAAAGATTAAGGGAAAAAAAATCCTAGTGCAGGCAAGGGGGTAATGAGATGGGACACACACATATACTACTGGTGGACACCAACAGCGACATAATCTGTCTGAAGGCCATTTGGTAATACATAATCAAGTGTCTTTAAAAAGTTATTACTTGACCCTGTAATTCCGCTTTCAGGAAATTGTTCTGCTGGAAAGAGCTGCCAGAAAAATATGCACGAATTTGTTCACCACTGCAATGTTTATCACATAGGCTGAAACATTAAGGTCCAACAATAGGGGGATGTTTAAATTTTGTCAGATGCATGCAATGAAATACAACCATTAAAAATTGTTCTTGGAGAACTTCTTAATGAGGTGGAAATGTTTACAGTGTAAAGTCTGGTTTAAAAAAAATGAATGTCAAATCTGTACATACAGTATGGCCCTAAATATTTGACATATATACATAGAAAACAAACACACCAAAAAGTTTACAAATGGTTATCCATGGGCAGAAGAATTGGGAATTATATTTCCTTCTTTATACTCATCTGCATTTAAAAAATTGTCTACAATGCATAGCCATTACTTTTATAATCAAGGGAATAGAAAACAACAAATCTGTAATAGCCTCCACACCCCACCCCCAACAGACTCTCCTGGGTCTTAACCCCAGACTAAATTGCTCTTGGGATCTTTAGTCATTTTGAAGCCGTTGGGCTCTCAACAATGAGTAACAAAATAAATCTTGAAATTAAAAATCAACCAGCAGGTAACCATGTAGAATGTCATCTATATTCTGACAAAATGCAAATTTTGATATAGTTTTAAGGGGTGGTATCTTGCATTGGGCTAGGTCTCATTAGGACTTCCCCCTTGATTCAGACCTACCTACCTATTACCTACCTAATCAGCCCAGAGGTGGCAATCCCTGCCCTCCACCTTACCCAGGCAAACCGGTTCACTAGTCCCTTCATGCTCCTCCCTAGTCCCATCGGCAACACACCCTTCACCTGGTAACCCTCCCCTATTTCCAGACCATTTGGTACGCCATCCCTGCTAGGAAGTGCGTACTGATTACAGCTAAGCATAGATCTCCCCACCTACACAACACCAGCAAAAATCTCAGCGGGGTTCACTGTCTACATAGAACAGAGTTTGGGAGATGAAGGAGTGAGTCATCCCCCTTGGCCTCCAGCTTCTTAATGTTGTCTTTGAGCCTCTGGGATCTTCCCTAACTCTAAACACAGCTTCCTCCCCTCCTACCCTATTCACCAGATGGCTCCTTAAATGGCCCTCCCTGAACCCTAGGCCCCCACTCAAGTGTGGTCCTTAATTCTCTGAAGAACGCTTCTCTTAGCCTCTGGCCCGTAGCCCACTGTGACGTCAGCCTCCCCCCTAGACCAGACCACTCTCTGCCGACACTGGACTTGGGAGGGAACGCCTGCAGCTTCACACAGATCCTTGGCCAGAACAGTTTCCCAAAGCATCACCTATGCTTAGATCCTTCTCGAACCAAGCTGCTCACAGCTCTTGTTTCTCAGCTTGTCCAGCCAGCCCTGTCACCCCTGACCCCAGTGCCCCAACACTGTTTACAGCACCATGCAGCTGTACCCAGCTGTACTTAGGTCTTCAAATGGTTTTAGCCACACCCTGCCCTGTCACTCAAGGCCCTCGCTGGCTAGCCCCAATGCCCCCACTTTGCCATGCTCAACTGGCTGGACATATCCCATTTCCCAGTCTTCCCTGAGCACAGTTTGCACCTCAGGCCTCCACACCTTCTCTCATGCTTTCCTCTCCCCAAAATGACTTACTCCCCTTTCTATTGTTGTTCTGCTTCTCTGATCAAAGTCTGTTCATTTAGTCGCTCCCTCCTTTCTTCTACAGAATTTTTCAGTTAAATGTGCTTAGAACTGTTTTTCCTACCAGGGGTGGAGGTTAGGTTTTAAACAGCCCTGAATTCTCCAGCACAGTGTTCCTTTAATTTACCCCTCCTCTTCCTTTGGACTGGAAGGTCCTGAAGTCAATTCCTCATTATGTGCCCCCAACTCCAGCCGGGACAAGGCTTTACCCACAGTCCCCGCCACTGAGGGTAAGACAGATCTTGAGATCTCCCCTTAGCTCAGGAAACAGGATCAAACTTGTTGGGAAAGGGTGAGTCTTTTTTCACTCAAAGTGATTTGGTTATCAGGCTGTGAACTAGGACTCCTGAGCTCTGCTGATTCTGATACTAGTTTATTAAGGTAAGGTGGGAATTGCACCTACGTGCTTTACCTGCTCCACCAGGACACTGAATTCAAATGTGGTAATAAAGTAGAACAGCCACAGGAAAGGCACAGGAGCTGACGACGAGAGGCAGAAGGTCATTGGCGCCAGAATGGGTCAGCATAATTAGAGGCCAGGCGAGGGTCAGGAGCTTCCTTACTCAGCTTAGTAGTGGGAATGGGAACCCAGCAAACTAGGAAACAAGTAGAAGCAGCACAGAAGTTTGCAGAGGTGGTAGCTGAAAAAGGAACAGCTCGAGCATTTTCCCCGTGCGTGAAACTAAGTTCGTGGTTCCTTTCACAATGCAAGCGCTACTGTTAGCAAGCTCATGCATTTGCCTTTTTTGTCCAAGTTTTCTTTCACTGGCTGCTTATGTGGGGGTAGCAGAAAGATCCCCTGATTTATCTGTTTATTAAGCTTACATGACCTTAAACAAGTTACTTAACCCTCAAGCCTCAGTTATCTGGTCTGTAAACTAGGGACAGAGCACTTACCTTGAAGTTAGTGTGAGAATGAATTGATAGGAGCCCCATAACTTGTCTAGCACAGTTCCTGGTAGTCTCCTGCTCTGAACAGAGAAGGTTTCGGTGAAACAGCTCTGGCCTGGGTGTAGGTTACCAATATTGTGAGTAGGCTAGGGCAGCGCTAGGGAGGTATAATTACTGAAACTTTATAGCCAAGATTCCAAGACAGTCACAATTTCAAAGACACTCTCCTGTTCTCTCTTAAGTCAAGAAGCATTTGCCAAGTTTTGACTGGGAAAATATGATCACTATGGAAGGCACCTTGGCGGCTACCTATTTCTCCATCAGCCCTGAGAGTCTGGGCTCCAGGCCCAAAGCTTCTCAGCCAGACACTCAAATATGCAGGTGAAAGGCGGAAGGAGGAAGATGCTCAGCAGTGGCTCAGGGCACCTAGTAGGTAGGAGACCCAGGTGCTACCTCCCACCTTCTCCGGCCCAGTGGACTGCAGCACATTTCCACACTAAAAGGAAAGAGCATGTTAAACCCTTCGAACTCAAGTTAAACCCTCAGGTCCTTGGCTGCACATTAGAATCACCTGGGGAAATTTGGAAATCTTCATGCTTGGACTGTATTCCAGACCAATTAGATCAGGTTTTTTCAAACTTGCCACAGGATGATAATCACCTATATCAGCTTAAAATAGTTTCTCAGGTTCTGGAATTAGCACCATTACCGCAACGTAATGATTCTAAAACACACCCCTTTAAAAACATACAGGATATAAAAAAACAAAACAAAACAAAACAAAAAACATACAGGATATGTTAACATCTTTGAAATCTGAGTGATCTTCCAATCGGTGGTATCTAAGATTTTTTTTTTAAGATTTTATTTATTTATTTGAGAGACAGCGAGAGAGGGAACACAAGCAGGGGGAGTAGGAGAGGGGGAAGCAGGCTTCCTGCTGAGCAGGGAGCCCAATGCAGGGCTCGATCCCAGGACCCTGGGATCATGACCTGAGCCCGAAGGCAGACGCTTAACAACTGAGCCACCCAGGCGCCCTGGTGGTATCTTAAGATTTGATGACACACAGAAACCAGCATCTCAGGTGATCCTCATAATTAGGCAGGTCTGAGGAAAAAACAGTTCCCTAATACTTTCTAGGGCAGCACTTCCCAAATTCTAACACCCTTAGAGTCACCTGCAATTCTGTTACAACGCAGGTTCTGGATCAGAAGGTCTAGGTTAGGGCCTGAGATCCTACATTTCTAAGAAGCTCCCAGGTGAACGGTGCTAGGCCCTGTGCCACATTTTGGGTCGCAAAATGCTGAAGTATCTCCTCCTGGGGAGGCTCCACCAGCAATTCATTTAATTAAACTGAAATAACTGGCATAAGGAAATATGACCAATGGAGAGAGTCTTTGATAGGTCTGAGAGGCAACTACTAGACTGCACTCCAGCATTTCTCCCCAGGAAGGGGCAGCAGGGATGAAGGCCAGAGGGAGGGCCGTCCCAACCTTTGCAAAGCTGGAGGCTAGAGTCCAATAATTTCCCAAGGAAGCAGTTTGCTATATGAGGCAGCAGACCCCCACCCTAAATACCAGCGGAAGTTCACTCACCAAGTGAAGTTGGGCCTCAGGCGGCTTTAGTGGGTTGAGGGGAAGCAGCCCCCTTCTGTCTACACATACCCTTTCTCCTTCCTTCATTTAGTCACCAAACCTTTACTGAGGGTCCACTGATAAACCACAAGGTCTGAAGGATTCAAAGATGAATCACATTTGGTCCCTGAGCTCCAGGGGAAGGAATTCAGCCTGGGGGAAGCCATGTGTAACGCAAAGTACAATATGAAGTGATAAGTGCTATTAACAGAAGCACACACATGACGAGATGAGCCAACATAAAGGAATGATGCTGAGAGCTTCCCGGTGCAGCAGCCACTGGAGGAGCTGGAGGAAACATTTCTAATCTTTCCAGGAAGAGCACCACCCTAAATAAAAACTCTTTGCCAGGAGCAGCCTGCTATGATGGAGAGGGTGCTTTGATGCCTTGAAGCCCTTAAAACCAAAACTGTACAATCTGGAGCCTCAGGATGGGCAGAGCTTCCTGCATTTATGCCTCTAATCTCTAGCACTAAGATGCAAGTGAATCCAGGGAAGGAAGAGACTTTTAGGGGATCAGCCCCTCAAAAGGATGGGGCAGCCATGATCTCATTCCAGAGAGTTTCAGTACCCACATCCTATCCTCCTGTGTCAGAATCCCGCAGATCATTTTCCTAGTTACAGAAACACAAGTCTTTGCCCTTTGTCATACTGAGCTCTTAATTGGCTTTGACCCATCACATTGCTGGATATAAAGGCTACAATCCCTAGACTAAGTAGATCTCCAGCTGGGTAGGGAGTCTCAGCCAAGACAGGTAGGGTACAAGAACCTAGAACTTGCTCCCTCACCGAGCCCCCTCTAGACCAGCTTTTGAGGAGGACTACAACGAAACGGATCCTCAATCCCAATTTACTTTTTCCTTATTTTCCATCTCACATAGGAAACTCTAGAGAAGAAGCTTAAGGGCCGGAAGAAGCAGCTGAGGAGGAGACAGCAGAAAGATGGGGAGTGGAGCCAGTGCTGAGGACAAAGAACTGGCCAAGAGGTCCAAGGAGCTAGAAAAGAAGCTGCAGGAGGATGCTGACAAGGAAGCCAAGACAGTCAAGCTGCTATTGCTGGGTGAGCAAGATGGGAAGATGAGCCAGAGAAGGTACTGCTCCTTCCTGCTTATCCTGGATGGTAGGTGGGTTCTAACCCACCCCACGGGAAGGAGGGACAGCAGGTCATTTTTCTTCTCCCCAGCCGGTCTCAGGCTAGGGGATCAGGGCTCTAGGGCTGAGCGCAGCCACCCCAAGGAGATGCAGAATGCCAAAGCTACCCTAGAATTGTTCTGCTCTTCCTTGAACCAGGATTGTGCAAGGGCCGGGACAGAGCCATCCATCTCCAAATCTAACCAAACCTAATACCTCACAGCTTGGCAGACAGGGTGAACCCCGTGCTTGCAGACAGTTACCCAATCTGCAGTCAGAGAGCTCTGAGTCAAGGACTCGGGAGACGACAGTGGACTCCGAAGTCCTACCATATAATCAGTGCCATGTAGTCCTGGGGACAGACCCACTGGTGCTTGCCAAGTAAACCGGTTCCTTCTCCTTGCTTCCAGTACACAATTTGTACAAATTTTAGAACTAGGGAGCCCTGAGGGAGGAGGAACAGAGTCTTTATCTATGGCAGTCCTTTCCTGGCTTTCTGTTCAGTAGCTGCCTTGAGAGCCCCTGCCAGATGGGAGGTTTATCACCTTGATGAGCTCCTAAGCAGATCACAGGTCTGTGCTGAAAAAAGAAAAGCACTTCTGTTGGTCAGAGAAATTGGTCACAGCTGTAAACAGGACCAAGACAATGAAGAGTTTGGGACACCTGGCTGAGGGGAAAAACCTCCAAAAGTACGGAGGTAAGCTAGTTGGAGTAGGCGGCGTCCATGCAGCGGCACGTTGGCTGGCTGGGTTGTTTTGAAGCCCAGGCAAAGCCTGGGAACTGCAGCCCCAGGCCATGGCACCTCCTCTGCCCCAGCTGATCTGTGAGCATACCGCAGGAAGCAAGGAGCCCAAGAAGCTACAGAAGGGGGAAAGAGATGGCAAGGCCCCTGAGAGCTCTTTTAAGCCTAAGAGGCTTTCTTCCACATTCAGGATAAGCAGCTTAGAGGGAACAGGCCCAGCTTTAAGTGGGAGGGGGTTAACATATAAGGGCCATGCAGACTGGGGGAGAGGGTTGAAGGGGATATGGAGGGGGAACAGAGTGCCAATGAGAGGATAGTAGGACATTTTAGCCAATAAAGGAAAAAGCAAGATGATGAAAAAACAGTATTTCAGTGAAGTTATCCAGCTCTCTGCAATCCTGCCCCTAGAGCACTCTCCTGAGTAAAAATAGGCAGAGGAGAAATGTATTAAAGGAATTCCCCTGAATCTATTAGTGGTGCTCAATGAGATTTTGCCACCACTCCCTCCACCTCCCCCGGACACTGGGAAATGTCTAGAGACATTTTTAGTTGTCACAGTGCAAGAGAAGAGTGCTATTGGCCTCCAGTGGGTAGAGGCCAGGAATGCTGCTAAACACCTTACCATGCACAGGACAGCCCCCCACAAAAAAAGAATCCTCCAGCCCAAAACGTCAGCAGTGCAGAGGATGAAAAATTCTGCTCTAAATCCAGACTAAATGGCCGGCAGAAATTGAGAGCAGCAATCATCCCTATGTGTTCCCCCCAGCAAGGCTCCCAAGCAAGTCCTAGCTTGGACTTCTCACAGGCCATCTACCGGAGGGTTGGGGGAAACTGGTGGAAATCTGAAGCATAAGCATTTCTCCCTGCAGGTGCTGGAGAGTCAGGAAAGAGCACTATCGTCAAACAGATGAAGTGAGTAGGAATAAAACCCGAGAGGACTGAGGTAGGGTGAAGAAGTCAGCAGAGCCAATAGAGGCATGGAGGATGAAGGGCTCCTCGGGCCCAAGGAACCCAGATGTAAAGGATATAAAGAACCTGATTCCCACCCAATGCCCCTCATCTGCTGCATGCCCTTTTCCCCCTTACTCTCCACTTTGGGACAGCAACAGGCATAGAGACTGAGTTCTTTAAATCCTTCCAGATTCCCAATCCCTTAGGTCTGGTTACTCAGGTCCAACTGAGGACTGGGTGTCTACTCCTCGCAGGATCATCCATCAGGATGGCTATACACCAGAGGAATGCCTGGAGTATAAGTCCATCATCTATGGGAATGTGCTGCAGTCCATCCTGGCTATCATCCGGGCCATGTCCACACTAGGTATTGACTATGCCGAACCAAGCTGTGTGGTAAGTGGTTAACAGTATGTGGTTATGGGTGGGAGGAAAGGCTAATGGGAAGAAACAGCAGCCAACAAGCTATGAGGAAACACGAGTCAAAAGAGTTTCGTGTAACTATAATCCCACCTACTGAGCTTCCAGTTTTTTTACTTCAGTCCTGGAGAAGTATGCAATCCCTACCTTTAAAATAAATTACAAAAATCTGCTCCCAGCTTCCTCTGGCTTTTTGTCTTATTTTACCATTTAAATTGTTCTCCTTGGGTTCCTTGCCCTGGCCATGGACCTTTTATAAGCTAAACCCCTCGTTCCAGTATTGGCCTTTTCCAATATTTGAATCACTGAAAGAACAAAGGTGATGGTTTACTGTCTCCCGTGTTGTCTATTTCATGGTCAGTCTGGTCTTTAAACTTCCAACTTCCCTGTGGCAGACGACCCACATTTTGTGGCAGTACCCTCTTGGATGAAGGCTGGAAGATACAAACACCACAGAGGATGCCCCCTAGAACCTGTTTTCCCCTAGGCACCCCAGGAAGTGGATAAATTGCCACCCTCCAAAGCACACTCAAAATTAATCGGTGTTTTCTTAGCATCTTCACTGGATGCCGTCTCCATCTTGGGCTTTGGTAGCAATGCAAAATGCTTTCCTTTCAGCAGTATTCCCAGGAGCCTCCTGGAAAGCCATTACTCCTGTGCAGTTCTCAGCCAGGTCTCTGCCTTACAGGATACTGGGCGACAGCTCAACAACCTGGCTGACTCCACTGAGGAGGGCACCATGCCTCCTGAGCTGGTGGAGGTCATCACGAAGTTGTGGAAGGACGGTGGGGTGCAAGCCTGCTTTGACCGAGCTGCAGAGTACCAGCTCAATGATTCGGCATCTTAGTAAGACTCTGACTGGGGAAGGGATGGGATGAGGCGTAAGCAACCAGGATTTCCAGGAGAAATCACACCTAGCCTAAAATTTCAAGCACTGAAAGCTGGAGTCCCAAGGACTGAATTCAGCATAGATACTTGTTTTGTTCAGGCTTGAGCAGTGCTCTACTATGCTTTGGATGTGATGCCCTTAGATACAGTGCCACCGTAGTGGTCACCACTCTCTCTTGCTTTACACCTGCTCACTGCAGCCTAGAGAGCTGAAGACCCCCCAAATTCAAAACAAAGGTGCTCTGTTTAGTAGCCCTCAGATCGCTGTCCTCTTCATCAATTCACACACATAGCCTCTCCTTTCAGAACCATGAACGTAAAGACACACCTGCAGTTCTGCCACATGCTCTCCCAGGTGGCACTTTATTCACGATGGCCTTTCTAGGGTGGAATTTTCTAGCGGGTAACATTAATGTCACCTAGGCTCTACTTAGGCCACTAACCTGAAGTCAACGCCTCCTTCACCCATAAATAGCACCTTATGTCGGAGTGCCAGGCATGGGACACAGAAACTTCCAGGGCAAACCAAAGGAAGTTGGTCAGGGATTAAAAAGAACCAACTTTCAAAGCTGGTTCCAAAATGATAAGGTACACATCAATCCTACCTCTAATGGCATGCAATCTATCATGGATGGGCATGAACTTTGCAGTCAGACACAGCTGGATTTAATCCCTGTTTTGTCACCTAGTTCTGTAACATAGTTCTCATTTACCATCCGCGAGCACTGACTCACCAAGGCCCAGGCACTGCCGGGTGCATGATGTATGCCGTCTCATTTGATCTGCACAGTAAGCCTTTGGGGTACAGAGTACTTTGTATTAGTCCCATTTATAGATGAAGAACTGAGGTTCAGAGAAGTTAATTAACTTACCCAAAGTCATATAGATAAATGGCAAAGGCTGGATTTGAATCCAGGTCTATTTGACCACAAAGTTGAAGGCTTTTTTACAGTATACCACAATGTCTCTTGACCTTGGACCCAGTCATTTAACCCTTCTCAATTTTTCCTTCATCTGTAAAATGGGATATGAAACTTGAAGGTGTATGAGGTTAAATGAGAATTTCAACGTGCAAATGCCCGGTAGACAGTAAGCACTTGTTAATTTTCCTTCCCTTCTTCTGTCATCTCACTTCACATCTGCCTTCCTCCTGTCTTTTTAAATTTTTTATAACTGTCAAACATATACAAAAGCAGAATAATACCTGGCTTCAACTGTTAACTCACGGCCACTCTTGTTTCATTGTACCTCCATCTCCTACTGGATTATTTTAAAGGGAGTCCCACATATTCTATCATTACATCTCAAAAAAAAAAAAAAAAAGAAAAAAGAAAGAAAAAGTCTTTTTTTAAAAAAAAGGAATAATCTAATTGTCACACCTAAATATTTAATAATTCCTTAATGTCATCAAATATCCAAGCCAGTGCTCATTTAATGTTTCCCCAGTTATCTCAAATGTTTGCTCCCCAACTTGATTCAGAATATAAATAAGGTCCCATGCAATGCACCGATTCACATCTCTTATTGTCTCTTTAGTCTCTTATAGTCTACTCCTGCGTCTTGATGGAACTTTTGGCACCCATTTAAACCACCAAATCTCACTGAAGGGTCTGGAAAACCTTGCAGTCAGGCAAACCTTGAAGAAAAGTTATCTGACTTGATTTAAGCGGGACGGAACCCCTGCCTCAACTGGGCATGCCTCTCAACCCATCCCACACTCCCTTTTGTAGGGGCACATGAGGGTTTGAAGGAAAGAACCCTAGGTTTAACAATATGGATTCTAGTCCTGGTTCTATCACTAAGTTAGTTGTAGAACTTTGGGTAAGACCCTTTACCTTTCTTGGCCTTGGCTATGGAAAGTTTAATGTCAATTCCAAGCTTTTTTCTCTAGCTACCTGAACCAATTAGACCGGATTACAGCCCCTGACTACCTCCCTAATGAGCAAGATGTGCTTCGATCCAGAGTAAAAACCACAGGCATCATTGAGACCAAGTTTTCAGTCAAAGACTTGAACTTCAGGTGAGTACAGTTCCCTGGGGCACCACAGATACACACATGGTTCCCTGAGTATACCTCAGATACCAAAAAAGGGCAAGGGCATGCTTCACTAAAGTCCCATCTGAATGACTACCCTACTTCTCCCCCTTACCCATCTCCCTGCCAACTGGGCCCAAAGTGGCCACCTCTCTGGGGTAAACACCAAGTGCATGTGCTGTTTTTTTCCCTCAGGATGTTTGATGTGGGAGGGCAAAGATCGGAGAGAAAGAAGTGGATCCACTGCTTTGAGGGAGTCACCTGCATCATTTTCTGTGCGGCCCTTAGTGCCTATGACATGGTGCTAGTGGAGGATGACGAAGTGGTAAGTGGCCTTTGCACCAAGAGCTTTGATAGTTGCCCTGTGACCCTTCCTCTAAGCTTTGTGTCACCAATTCTTCAATTTGGGTGATTTCAAGACAGCCTAGCAGTCCTCTAACAGCCAAATCAATGTTTCTGGCAAATAATTCTAGAAAAACCTCCTCTTTTACAGGCTCCAGGTTAGCACTTTAGAGCTCCAGATTTACTGGGAGTGAGCTTGGTCTCAGATCAGACATCCAAGAAGCACTTGGACATCACATAGCTCACAAGAGGAATTGAGTATTAAAGAGACAAGGGATCACAATTGGGTTTGTAAAGCACAGGAATTACACTTTGGACTTTCCCAGGCTGCCTATGGAAATAAAGGATAGGAGGTAAAAATGATAGAGCAGAAAAACAATGTATGATGTGTATCTTTGTGCAACATGATAAGAGGGGTTGGACTACTAACCTCACTTGGAAGCCTAAATATGTACCGTCAACAGGACTAAGGAGAGACTGGCAAACGAGGTTTCTCACATGCCACTGAAATTGGCAGGTGGAAGACTACCTGAGGGTGAATCTCTTGAGCCTGCAGAGTTTAACAGGAGCTCTGCAGGCCCAGGGTTGGCCCAGCCAGTTACCTTTGGAGTTTGAGACGCAGGATATCACCGCATGGAAAATGCTAATGGAGGCCCAAAGCTTACTGATACCAGACAAAGCTCCTACACTCCCATCCCTTGCTCCAGTTCTTCTCCCTTCTCCTTAGTAGTTTAAGTTCACATGAGAGTTCTGTATCTTCTATGCAAATTCATTTTCAAGATCTCTTCCATCTTTAACCCTGAAGTCTATGAGGTTTTCAGGGGTTCTGCAGGAATATTAGCAATGACAAAGGGCCACAAAAAGTAGATTTGTTTTCTTTCTTCATTAGATGAAAAGATTCAGCCCAAGTCAGCTAACAGCATACTTCAAATCCTAAAGGCCCACTCCCTGAAGACAGGCTGGTCTGGGGAATTGGCGACATCTAGATTCCACAGATACATAGCACCACTTCTCACTCAAAGTGGCAATCAGAGGAGGAAATAAAGCAGAAGTGCTTGTGGTGTGGCACTGAGAAATTCTCTAGCCCTCACCATTTGACACCAAGGCAATAATCCCTATTATGTTCCCGCCCAAACTGAGATCCAGGACTCTGTAACAGAAGCCTAGCAAAATCATCCTGGAAAAAAAAAAAACAAAACATCATCCTGGAGACACAAAGGGGCACATGATAACTCAGGCTTAGTTTCAACCATGTATCAGCAGCACTTACAGGCATCGAAGTCCCTCACAGTGCCCTGGCAGCCTAAGATCGGCATAACATTTATTGTACACCTATACGCCAGCCACTCTCATGGACCCTACATACATGATCCCGTCGAACTTCCGTAATGACCCCATGAGATAGGGAAAAGGAAACTCAGAAAACCTCAGTAATCTGCCCCAAGTCACACAGCTATGGCAGAACGAAGATTAGAAGGGCAGCTGTATCTCTTGGGCTCTATCCCACCACACCAAGAGGAGATAAGCTGTTCCTCTTACATTCGGAGCACTAGTCTCTCCAAGGGGAACAAGAACAGGAAGTAGACAATACCCCATCAGCTCAATCTGAAATCTCTGATGGTGTTTCCTCCTCCTAGAATCGTATGCATGAGTCATTGCACCTCTTCAACAGCATATGTAACCACAAGTTCTTTGCGGCTACTTCCATTGTCCTCTTTCTCAACAAGAAGGACCTCTTTGAGGAAAAAATCAAGAAAGTCCATCTCAGCATTTGTTTTCCAGAGTATGATGGTAAGTGTCAAGGGCTGGAGACAATGGTAATGATTTCTTGGTAATGACTAGTGATTGCCTCGTTTCCTATACAAAGGAGACATGAAGGAACCTGTCTTTAAGGAGTACTAAGTGTAACGCCTTTGCTTTGCTGGGTTTGATGATCCCTTACCCCTTTAATACTCAGTTACTCTTATGAGCTTTGTGATGTCCAACTGATACTTGGATGTCTAATCTGAGAAACTTGGGTATTCAGTCATAGGTTTAAATTCAGATGTCCCTGGAACAGAACAGATGTTAGATGCAGGAGAGCCACAGAATGTTCAAATGATACCTACCAGAAATCTAGGGTGGAGACACAGAGATCCCTCTCCTCACTTTCCTTGTTCAACTCAAGTGATAAACACTGGAGTACAATAAAGGAGAGGGCCCTCCCTCTAAAAACAGGCCCCCAACTGCAGCTGTCCAACACATTTTGAGGATCAAATTGGTCACGTAAAAAGTAAGTGAGCAGCTAAGAAGGGTTCATTTATGCCACTTCTTCACTATTTTTTCTGGGAAACCAGGAAACAACTCGTATGAAGATGCAGGGAATTACATCAAGAGTCAATTCCTTGACCTCAACATGCGAAAAGATGTCAAAGAAATCTACAGTCACATGACCTGTGCTACAGACACGCAGAATGTCAAATTTGTATTTGATGCAGTTACAGATATTATCATCAAAGAAAATCTCAAGGACTGTGGGCTCTTTTAATTCTCATCGCTCTTCATGTACACATCCCATAACCAGGCTTGGAATCTGGCTAATTTCAAGCAGAAAAGCATAGATCAAGATACCATGGCATGAAGAGTGAATCCATTCTCTTTAGAGATGGACTTATACATGATTGCAACTGTGTCCCGTATGTTCTTTTCAAAGTGGGATAGCTAGTGCAGTTGAAAGAGCACAAGGCCAGGAGTCAGAAGACCCAGGTGCCAGCACTGGTTCTTTAACTTACTATAAGGTGTAAGTATTTCATTCCTCTGAGCCTTGAGTCACTCATCTATAAAGTAAAGATAACTTCCCTACTACTTCACAGTAGTGAAGTTCTAATGATCACAAACATAAACTGAAGGGAAGGAGCATAAAAGCTGTGTGGTTAGAGTCACAGAAAGAAATCCTATATAAAAGCAGCCACTTAGGAAATTCAAGACAAAATTTTTAGACGAACTATCCAAGGAAAGCAGCAAACCATCCCTACGTTCTGCAAAATAAACAATTAAAAACAAGACCTCAATAAACCTACCACCATTTTTTACAAACAGACTCCCTGTACCTTAGCTCAGAGATCTGAATCACTGGATTGGAGATATAAGTTTCTAAGGTACATGTCCAAAACCGATCATCTTTATTAAACAGACTATCCCTCTGCAAGCTGCCCAACTGCCATCTCTCTGTAAGTAACTGTCTCAGGTATAAAAGACACTTTTTTTTTAAAGTAGGCTCCATGCCCAGCGTGGAGCCCAATGTGGGGCTTGAACTCACGACCCTGAGATCGAAACCTGAGCTGAGATCAAGAGTCAGACGCTTAACTGACTGAGCCTCCCAGGTGCCCCTCAGGTATACAAGACACTTTCTGAATAAACTTGGAAGAATTCAACACACTCCCACTTAGAGTATTAATGATTTTATTGCTACCACTTCTTGATCACAGCATTTTTTTTTTTTGTAAGTGTATTTATTTAAGCAATCTCTACACCCAACGTGGGGCTTGAACTCACAGCCCCGAGATCAAGAGCTGCATGCTCTATCGACTGAGCCAGCCAGGCGCCCCTCAATCACAGAATTTAGAGTAGGTAAGCAAGGCTAAAATTCCCATCTCAACTGCTACGTTTCAGAGCAAAAAAAGGCAGCTGATCTTGCTTTAGGCACTGAAAATCTCTGCAGTTGAATCCATGTGATGCCTGGCTGAAAACAGTATCTCCCCATACAGGACAACAAGTAAATTATTTCTTTGAACTCCTCTCAGGGGAAACGAAGCTTGCATTTATCTTGACAGGAGGTGGTGAAGTCAAGTACAGATTTAGCATTTACAACTACCAGTGAGGAAAGCTCTTGGCATCCAAGATTTAGTACATAAAATAAAGTGTCAATTAAAATGAAAATCTGCTCCTTGCCAGAAACACATATTCACACTTAGGCTGCTACTAGCAATATTGATACTAGAGAGCCATATGAGCTTGAAATCCATTGAAGAATAAATTTGCAGCTGTTAAAATTGGATTCATTTAATAGTCTTTCTGATTCCATGAAAAGAAATCAAACTGAGACAATTACCAGAGAAATAAGGGAAAGTACTCTGACTATTGCTGATTAAAAAACTTCACCAAAGGAAAAACCTGGGCAAGACTTCATGCATGCAAGAGCTGTTCAGGGACTACATTCTAAATGGCATATTCCAACTATCACTAACCTATTTGTTTTAACTAAATATACAGGGATTATGATTCTTTTTTTTGGTATCACGGATCCCTCCAACAGTCTGATGAAACCTCTGGACCTCTTCTCAGAATATTTAAAAATGCATAAAATAAAATTCAGAGAATTACAAGGGAAACCAACATACTAGGAATACAGTTCTATCGTTGGAGCCCTGAAGCCCCAGGTTAAGAATCCTCACTTTGGCTAAGATCTTGTCTATTCAGGTCCCAAATCTAATGTATCTCACTTATTTGATCTTCAATTAGGGTAGCCCAACCTCCCCACAAATTGTACCAGATTGTTTGCTTCTTTTATTATCTTTTCCTTGATCTTTGACTCCAGGCGGGACTTGGTTATAGGCCAAACTGTAAGAGCCCACCCCAGGCTTCTTGGTTATAGATGTTCACATAGAACCAGCCCTCTAGTCCTAGCATGAAAACAGAGCCAGTGGGTCTTACTTTCTGGTATTCTACTCACTCTGCTATCTTTATCTTTTGTTTTTGCTTCATTTTAAATTTACACCATAATGCTAAATCTTATGCATCATCAGAAATTCTTTTTTGTAACGAGGTAGGTCAGAACCAGTTCAACCCTATTTTCATTAACTGCGATCTTAATTCTTAAAATGATAAAACTAGAAGGAATTTTAAAATAGTCCAGGCACTGGACTGTTCACTAGCAACTTATAGATAAGAAACTGAGGCCCAGAGACGTGGAATGTCTTCATCAAGATCAAACTTCTAGGATGTCGGAGAACTAGAACTCCAAAACAGGTCTTCTGAATCCCAAGCCAGTGTTCTATCATGCTGCTGAAAGCCCACCATATACTATAAAGTCAAAGTCAATTTTCTCATTTCCCTAAGCTCTTCCCATTCCCAACCAAATTTTGGTTATTTTTAAATTATGCCATCCTAAATCATAGATATTTAACAGTATCCTCTCCAAACTGAATACAAATCAGCCTCAAATTTGACTGTGAATTTAGCATAAAACAAAAATATAAATAGCTTTAAGTTTGTTTGTTGAAGGTGTAATTTTCTGTTCATGTCCTTAGAGGGCAGAGATCTGAATGCAATTCCCTTACAGTGCACTGGACACTGATGACAGTAAGCCCAATGTGAATTAGGTTTCACTTCTTGAGATTCTGATGACAGTTGCTTTTCTTTTTCTACAAAAATACAGTTATGATTAACACACAAAAGGACAAATATTGTATGATTTTTCACTTATATCAAGTATCATAGTAGTCAAATTTATAAAGACAAAGTAGAGTGATGGTTACCGGGGCTAGGAGGAGGGGGAATGGGGAGTTAGTGTCTAATGGGTACAGAGCTGCAGTCTGGGAAGGTGAAAAAAGTTCTGGAGATGGATGGTGGTGATAGCTGTGCCACACTGTGAATGTACTTCAGACCACTGAACTATGTACTTAAAAATGAGTAAGATGGTAAAGTTTATGTTACATATGGTTTACCACAATAAAAAAATAGTGGAAAAAAATACAATGTGATTGGAAATGTGCTTTTATGTTCTGTAGGTAAAAGCAGCACAAAAACTCAGTCTTAAAAGCAATATAAGAGACACATTTACTTGTAACAGTTCCTACTGTGATAAAAAGTTCACTTACATATACCCCATATAGTCCAAATCCGGGTAGCTCCATCCCCAAGGTAAGAAATAACAGCATTCAAAACCCACTCTATCATTGGAGATGTGCCGTAGACCAAAGTGTGCTGGCCATGCTGGGTGGAGAAGGTGGTGAAGGGTGAAGAGCTCTTACCTCCCACTGCCCTCTCTACCCGGCACAGCCCCCGGAGCACAGATTCCAGATGGACTTCAGTGTCGGCCCAGGGACTGCAAGTGTGCCTCAGCCTCTGGTGTTCCTGCTAGGTAAAAGCATGAAGACATTTCTGTGAGGTCCAAAAGACACAGTGCAGAGTTTCTGCCTTTTGGCCATGAAAAAGCAAGCACTAGTATTAACAGAAATAAAGAACTGGGATTTAAATACAAAACAAAGCAAAGACCCTTCTTTTCACCCGGCTTGACAAATTGCAGAGCCATTTATAGTTGAACTTCATCTCAGGCGTTCAAAATGAGTATGGCACAGTGACGCTGAGAAGACAGCCGGCTACAGTGAATACATCCGTTGGTACGGCCTTAAAAGATGACTTGTTTTGCAGTACAGTATCATCTGGAGTATTGTAAAGAGTATTTACAAAGCACTTTTAAATATGTTATTTCACTTGGATCACAACCACAGTACATGATAGCTGGAAGGAATAATTTAGTCTACCTTTAGGTAACAGATGAGGATTTAAGAGAAAGATTTCATAGGTGGTTGGAGGCAGGGAAAAAACCAGTACTGGGTGTGACAAACAGCTCTCTCAATAAGATTCTGAGAGGTCTCAGGACCTTTATCCTCCGTGAGCAAAAATGAAGAGTTAAAAAGAACAGTTAATTTCTTGTGATTTGTTAGGACTGCTGGGAAATTTACATTTAAATAAGCCTCTAGGTAAAAATGTTTGGATAATGATAAGGAATATGGGGGCAGGAGTGGGGGGCGGTAGTAGAGGATAGGAGAAAGATAAACCACACTTTACAGAATTTAATATTCCACCTGATAAAGTTATCTTACATCTGGATGCTAATACATTGAAATGGTGTATCCCAGCAGCGTATTTACTAATACTGGATTATTTCTGCTACCTTGTTGATTCCCACTAGATTTCAGGGAAACATTAGCAGCAAGCATACAAAGACTTTTCTATTTGACTCCTCAATCATTCCCCTCTCTACCCCTTCCCCAGCCTTGTCTCAAAAAGACTTTCCAGTCTATAATTTAGAGCTAGGTAGCTTTGCTCTTTATCTACCAACTGTAAATGAATATTCATGTTATTACATATATATAGCTAGACCTCTATCATGGGATTTTATCTTTGATGTTTCTTTCAATTTTCACTGAATAAATGCAGTAACACAAATGAAACAAATGTTTGGAAACTCCAAGTTTCTTGTTTTGTCTTAATTTTGTATAAAAACTAAATACTCTGTATCAAAAGTGTAGGAATGTTCTTTGACTAAACAGTTCTCTTACTAATTTTTTTGGTGAAAGGCACTCTAAGTCATGTACAAAAGGTGCTTATTTATTGGCAAATAAAAAATACCTCAATCGTTTACTAGTGACTTTTAAGGTTCTATGTCTACTATTTATGTTGATCTTTTTTAAAAAAGATTTATTTGTTTGTTTGTTTTTGGGGGGGAGGGAGGGAGAGAGGGAAGGAGGGAAGGAGGGAAGGAGGGAAGGAAGAAGGGAGAGAAAATCTCAAGCAGACTATGAGCGGGGCTTGATCTCTCAACCCTGAGGCCATAACCTGAGCTGAAACCAGGAGTCTGATGCTTAAGTGACTGAGCCACCCAGGGACCCCTATTTCTGTTGATCTTTAACATAAGGTCCTATTCAGTTGTCCACAAATGTTGGCCCAGGTTAGCTTCATGAGAACCACACAGGAGTTTATTTAAAAATACATGTTCTCAGGACCTGTCTCCAACATCTCAATTTAGTAGAGTTTAGCCAGGGAATCTGCATGTTAATCATGCACCTCAGGTATCTACTGCTATTATAACCTTCTGTATTATCTTTCAATCCTAAGAAGACTTGAGTCAAGCCAGGTATGTAAGCCTGATATAGTATCAGAAAAAAACCGTCCTGTCCTGACTTGTTCTGGAGTCCTAGCAGAAGTAACTCATACAAGTTATGAGAAAATGGGGGCGGGGGGCAGTTAAAAACTAAACAAAGGTAAAGGAACAAAGATCCTGACCATCCAGAAAGTTTGTTCCCCAGTGCCTCACCTCACCTAAATCTTTCACTTCCGGATGGTTGACAGCAAGACCAACTTTCAATTTCAGGCCTCGAAGCAGCCTGGTGTGTTCTTGTGGTTAGACAGCCATAAAGCTATGTGGAGAGCTGTGGCTGGTCCAGGTCAGATCTCTGACTTGTACTATGAAGTCTGAAGAAGAACACAAAAATGACCTGGCAGTACTGGGAAACTGAAATAACTTTGTTCTTAAAGCCAGTATAAGATATGAAGGATTTCACAAGCAGTAAGAGTGAAGAAAATTAGTGCTGTTTTAGGTATGTTTAAATAAGTAGAGGACTGTGGTTTTTTGAACATCTGGAAGGGGAAAAAGATCAACCAAAGGTAGGTTTTTAAATGGAGGGAAAGACTAACTTTACCTTTTATGTAACTGCCAATACAGCAACCAGTTCTGCAACAGGACACTCCAGAAGGCTAAACAAATGTACACATACATGAAGTAACTAGTCAGGCTAGGTAAGCAATGTCCAAAGAAAGTCACAGCTACAAATCAGAGAACAGTGACCAGGATATAAGGTGGGCAAATGAATTAGAAGAACCAGCAGTTATTTTCAAATACTCTAATGTGCATGTAATAAAACACAATAGAACACGTAAGAGAATAAGAAACAAAGCAAGAAGATAGTTTTTAAAATTTGGTCCATCTATTCTTAGAATGCAGCACCTTTTAAAAAAATAACAATTCATCACTGGAAATAATAAAATGATACACTGAACTAGAGATAGAGATTTAGAATTCAAACCGTCCTAGATGAAATGTCATCCCAAGATCCACTTTGAATAACTGTGAAACTTCTTGGAATTTTCATGCCAGGAGGTGAAATCTTTCGCAAGTCTGAATTATATGATTGGGGAAGAATGGCCATCAAGAATACTTCCTCTTTACATAGAGCCTAATGAATGGCATTTTTTTACAGCCCAAGGTTTTAATCAGGTTAAGATGTGACTGTCATCAAAATAAAGCTATTGTTGTAGTCCTTCCTACTAGGGTCTATTTACTGTTCTTTATTCATTAAAGTTTAATTTTCTTATATGTGCTGGTTTCTTAGATGGTCCAAGGCCTGGCCACATGAATACTGAAATGTGGTCCATCACAAACCTCCAGCATTCTCTGCAGAAAAGATACAAGGCAACTTTTAGTTTCTTTGATTACAAATATCAATCCTTTTTCTCCAGCGTAATACACATGATGTCTCACCCCCGCACTCTGGCTCTGCTATGAGAAAAGATCTTTTATTTCAAAATACAGCAGGGATTCGCAAAGCTGATGATCAGAATCACCTTTTATAAAATTATAGATCACTAGCCCACCAGCCGCCAAGAGTTAATTGCCGAGATGGATCCTGGTGATTTTGACTTAAGGCATACTTGAAAACCTCTGGCTTGAATTGTGTCCCTGTATCCTCAAGGAATGTGCATTTAAATAAGTTACATGGAATGGTAGGGTAGGGGGTGAGATCTTCATGTAAATATAGAACAAAGGTATATGGTATAAAGGCAGAAAAGTGGAGAACTACTATTTTTCATTAACAGAAAAGCTAAAAAATGAACGTAACAGACGTATTCAAATGAAAATACAAAGTGCATTTCCAAGTATAATTAACTTACTTAGATTATTTGTTATTTTGGATTATCAACAATACCATCCCATTAGCCCTGACTACAGAAAGACTACAGTTAAAACAATATTCCACCAGTTCTCATTTCCAGATGATCCTATATCACAGAATACAGTAAGGAAAAGATATATTCAAAAGGAACAAGAACTATCAACTTATGTGGGCATTAAGTTAATCACCAATTGAAGCTGATCATTTTCTTTTAGATCCAGTTTTCCCAACCCTAAAAAAAAAACAACTGTTTAGACAATAACAGTTATACCATCTGCATAGTTACACTTTTCCAAAAAGAATAAGAAAAAAAAATTCCAATAAAGGCACTGAACTGCTGTGGCTTGCTTTCTGAACCAGCTTTGATGACCACCAACCTTTTTGTTTTGTTTTAAACTAGTAAAAGGTAACATCAAAAGATGACATAGAATCCAATCCAAAAAGACTGGACCCCAAAAGGCACTGCTCAAACTGCTGATTTGGAATGCTCAAAATGCATTCTCTTCATCTGCCTTCCCCCAAAGGCCCATTCAGTATTTAAGGACATTTGCTGTACATTATACAAAAGGACTGCAGGCTGAGGTGAATAAAGCTCTCCACAAAACCAAAATGTAAACCTGGAAAATGGATTGACTGAATGTCACTTACACAGATAGGACATAAGACCCTCAGTCAGGCCAAGATTCAACAATACCATTACACCAAAAGACTAGCCCTTCAGGGAACCCTCTACCTAAACCCATTCTCAGACAAAGGCCAAAGCACATTCAGCAGGGACAAAAAGAAACAGAACAAAATATTTCCAGAAAGGTCTAGTTACAAACAGGAACAAACCTGGACTCTTTACTCACCATTTTAATACTGCTGCCAACTATAACAGATTAAAATCTGTACACACAACATAGTGGAAAAAGTCCCAAAATGCAATAGTTTCGGCAAAAGAAGGTACTGACTAAGGATTACTACAATTAACATTGCTACAATAAAAACAATGGCAAACAGGGATTTGGCACCACATTTACAAAGTAAAAGCATGCATTGTTAATACACTTTAGATGTCTCCCAACAGAAAAGGCCATGGAGATGGAAAACAAGGGGCATCTTTTACAGAACTCCCTATGACTGAGACAAACAAGCAAGAACCAAAGGGGTCAATTTAGAAGATCTGTAGCAGCAAAGTCACTGTTTCTGTTTGGAATTTAGCAATTTGCATTTCTAATCGACAGCTGCCCTGGGTGTGTCTGTATCCAAGAAGCTAACTTTACATACTACATCAGCATTTACCTAGTAATTTGGTAATCAGCACAAACCAGATTAACCTAAACCGTAAGCTTAAACAAAAGTTAGAGAGCTAGAATCTTATTACAGAACTCTCCAATGTAATTACCATTTAGAAACCATAATGGTACTTTGAACAGGAGAGTAACATAAATTTCATCCAAAAAAGCTATAATCATAGCCCCAATAACCATAAAGAATTAAGTAATTATGGAAGTATTATGTTCTGACCATACCAAAAGTTAAAAACAAAGAGTTCCTACTAAGAGGAAAATTTTCAAGATGATCTGGCCACATCATGTGCATAGTTAAGATTGTGTTTTAATAAAGATTCTTTTGCAAACAAAGAAATAAAATTTAGTCATGTTATTCTCTTGATGAAAAAAAAAGTTTAAAAATGAACTACTGGTGGTTTGTTAAGAAGGAAAAAAAGAGTAAGCTACATATTAAAGTTCTGGAATGCAGCACCTCAACTCCACATCGGCCCTAAACGTTTGAGATTATGAAATCCAAGTGATGTCTTGATGATCGAATCATACTTTACAGCTGTTCCAATTCCAATGTCTGACTTTAGCATCTCGTGTCAATTAAGAGTTCCCTAATACAGAAGATTGTGCTAAAGAGTGCTAAGATTCTGCATGCTGCTGCCATTCCCTGGTCCCGGTCATGCTTGGGGCTGCCCAATGAGACAGCAAAAGAAGTCTGGTCTCAACACTCCACACTGTAATAACTAGAAAAGAAGAACATTCTTAATTAGAAAAGTTTACAAAGTCAAGAGATATCACTACAGCACTAGAACTAAATTGTCTGAAGTTTTTACCTTTTATTAACATCCAACCCTCTTCAGTAAAGTCCACATTCCTTTAAGTTGTTTTTAATGATGACATCTGTAACAGCATCAAAAACAAACTGCACATTCTTGGTGTCTGTGGCACAGGTGAAGTGGGTATAGATCTCCTTGGTATCTTTTCTTCTGTTCAGATCTTCAAACTGGCACTGAATATAAGCAGCTGCTTCTTCATATGTATTGGAACCTGAAGCAGACACCCAATATTCTCAGTTCGAATCATAAAAGCTGCCTGAATTCAATTAAGTCAGGCCATCACCATTTACTTATGAAGACAGGGAATATAACCCAAAGGAATATAAGACAGACTTATTTCTATAATCATTAAGTTTTTCTATAATCATTAGATTTTTCTTGAGAGCAGACTCTAAGTAAAACAAAATCATCACAGAAAAAGATCTAGGGAAACAAAACTTTTTTTCTCCTTTCATTTTGGTTTTTCAGCTAAAAAACCTAGAATGTATAAAAGGAAACTAGAGAAGTAGGAAGATGCATTGCTAGAACACAACTGTTTAAAAGGTCAGAGAGCCTGTGCTCCTTGGAGTGATCTTGAAATAAACAATTCAAGAGTTAATCATGCTTCTTTTCAAAAGCATATCAATTTTAAGGGGGCTTACTTCAGAGCCTTATAATTAAACAAGTACATGTAAAAGGGAAAGGGGCCTGAATTATACACTTTAAAATGTGTTTTTATAAAAATAAATAAAATGTGTTTTTGTGACATATAAATTACATCTCAATAAAGCTATTTTTTTTTTAAGATTTTATTTATTCATTTGACAGAGAGCAAGCACAAGTAGGCAGAGCGGCAGGCAGAGGAAGAGGGAGAAGCAGACTACCCACAGAGCAGGTACCCTGACATGGGGCTCAATCCCAGGACCCTGGGATCATAACCTGAGCCGAAGGCAGCCGATTAACTGACTGAGTCACCCATGTGCCCCAAAGCTATTATTTTTTAAAAGTGGGGTGTCTCAAAAGTAAACCTTATTTTCAACATTTGTAATTAACACTCTAAACCACAAGCTTCCTACACCTTCTCCTCTACCTGTGAGCCTTCAGAATAGCCCTAGAAATTGACAACAGAACCAGGAAACCTCAACAAAGAAAACGCAAGACTTTATTCCTGTAAACTAGAGGCTGTTTTCATCAAGTAACATCTGTGAAATTAAGTGACATTAAGCATGACAACAAATACCAATTGTTTAAAAAAAGACTAAACAAAGAAAAGCTTAAGAAAGAAAGGAATGTGATTTAAACAGACTACTAAGAGAAATAAAGGAAGATAGCTTGGTAGGTGCTTGAAATAGGTTTTTTGAGATCGGCAGAACTTCTGTAAATTCAAGGAGAGAGAGCACTGAGAAGAGAATTGTGCCTGGTAGGAACAAATACTGATACTTGTGCAATGAAGACTGTGAGACTTCTTTTTTTTTTTTTTTTTTTTTAAGATTTTATTTATTTGACAGAGAGAGACACAGAGAGAGACACAGCGAGAGAGGGAACACAAGCAGGGGGAGTGGGAGAGGGAGAAGCAGGCTTCCCGCCAAGCACAAAGCCCAATGCGGGGCTTGATTCCAGGACCCGGGGATCATGACCTGAGCCGAAGGCAGATGCTTAAGGACTGAGCCACCCAGGCGCCCCAGATGTGAGACTTCTTAAAAGAAGAATGAAGTCAATGGCTTGGAAGGTCGTCCCCCACCCCCCAAAAAAGGATACGACATTGAGAGCTCTATGCTATGTGGAAGATTCCCAGTGAGAACACTGTCAATCCTTTTACCTAAGTAAGCTTTCTCTCCACTTTAAAACCTGGCTACTTTCTATGAACTCACCATTCCCAATCCTGGCCACATTTCCAACTTCCCTGAGAAAACAAAGACCAGGGTGCTTACTACATCTCAACTCCTGAGCCTACCACGTCACTTAGAAGTCACCTATATCCCCACATATTTGTACCTTTGGTCTTAGAGAAGTCTTCCTTCCAGTTTCAAAATTTAACTCCTCTACCAAGAGGAGTTTAAGTTGAGGTGAAATTTATGTAACATACAATAAGACATTTTAATGTGTACAGTACAGTGGCATTTAGTATATTCACAATGTTATGCAAACACCACTTCTCTCTAGTTTCAAAATTTTTCACCAACCCAGAAGAACACCCCATTCCCATTAAGTAATCATTCCTCATTCCCCCCATTCTGACCACCCCCCTCCCGCCACCTCTCCTGGTTGGTAACCACCGACCAGCCTGCTCTGTCTCTATGGATTTGCCTATTTTGGGTATATAATATAAAAGCAATCACACACACGTGACCTTTTGTGTTTGGCTTCTTTCACTTGGCATAACATTTATGAGGTTCATACAGTAGGAGCATGTGTCAGTACTTCGTTCCTTTTTATGGCTGAATAATATTCCATTGTATGGAATTCGATCTGCTTACAAATCTTGCTCCATCAATTATATCCACTTTTTACAACTTCTCTTTTGCTATAAAATCTTACCACTAAGCCGGTGAACATTCTTAAATCTTTTCCCTGTAATCCAAGCTGCTCAAGAGTAGGCTACACCTGTCTTGATTTCTCTACTTCCTACTCAGTAACTCACTGCCCTGGCTCTGCTCTCACTGACAATGCTCTCAATAACACTCATGATCTCCTGGACTGCTAACTCCAGAGGCCATTTTTCAATGTGTAGCTTACTTTGTCTGCACAAAACATCACTGACCACCCCTCACTTCTAAATTCCTTAGTTTTTTGATATTTTGGCTCTCCTGGTTATTCTTTTCGAATCCAATATAAACCTTTCTTTCTCTCCTACCAATAGAGTCTGGTATTCTCTCTCTCATTCTATCCATGGTCTTTTCTGTCCTCATTCTATAACATCACCCCACGTCATCTCATCCATTTCCATATTGTATTTATACATGATCTCAAATCAATACATCTAACCCCCCATCTCTCACAAAGCTCCAAGGCCACATATATATCTTCCTTTTAGATACCTCCATCTGGATGTTCCACAGATGCTTCAAAAATCAACATTTCTTTCTTTCTTTTAATTAACATATAGTGTATTATTTGTTTCAGGGGTACAGGTCTGTGATTCATCGGTCTTTCACAATTCACAGCGCTCACCATAGCACATACCCTCCCCAATGTCCATCACCAGCCACCCCATCCCTCCCACCCCCCACCACTCCAGCAACCCTGGAGTCTCCTGCCCCGGAGGAGCTGCAGTGCCTGCGGCCCCTGAACTCCCATGCCGAGCCTGATGGAAGGGAAGTGAGCTGGGGTCAGTGGTCACAGTGAGAGGCCTGCCCGAGTCCCAGACACCTCTCCCTGCATCTCAGGCCACATCCAAGAGGCTTCAGGCCCTTTCTTTTTTGGTTTATTACTTTAATAGCAAAGAGCTGAAAAATGTCAGGTCCCACAAAGGAGCAGAACCTGACCCAAGGCCTGCAGGCATCTCCACCCCACAGGGGTGCGGGCTGGGCCAGGTAGGGCTGAAGGCAGCAGGAATGGGAATAAGAGACCAGACCAGCCGGAGAGGCCCTACTAGGGTGGGCAGACCGGCACGAGAGATGATGACTCTTAATCTCAGAGACTCCTGAGATTAAGAGTCTCTTATGGTTTGTCTCCCTCTCTGGTTTCGTCTTGCTTCATTTTTCCCTCCCTTCCCCTATGATCCTGTCTTGTTTCTCAAATTCCTCATATCAGTGAGATCCTATGATAATCGTCTTTCTTTGAAACCAACATTTCTAGATAGCACTTCAGATCACAGCGCCAGCAGCCAATCAAGGCAGAACTCTGGTAGTACTCTTCCCACCCCCTTACCCTACCTATACTCTTTCACCTTATTACAGAAAGCTTGCCAGTGTCTGCCCAGCTAACAGGAGTTCTCCTTCCCTGAAAATACCCAACTCTGATCTAAAGGATATAGTGGTGCAGCCCTGGCATTCATGTTTGTGTCCCTGACCTTCACTGACTGACTGACCGACTAGGCTAAGGATTTTTGCCTGCCTTAACCTTGGCCAGAATCTCTCTCCTAGTAATTTGAACCTGCGGCCAACCAGTATCAGTGTAGCCTGGTCTTTATTTTATTTTTTAAGATTTTTTTTTTTTTTAAGATTTTATTTATTTGACAGAGAGACACAGCGAAAGACGGAACACAAACAGAGGGAGTGGGAGAGGGAGAAGCAGGCTTCCCGCAGAACACAGAGCCCGATGCGGGGCTCGATCCCAGGACCCTGGGATCATGACCTGAGCCGAAGACAGACGCTTAATGACTGAGCCACCCAGGCGCCCCTACTGTGTATCTTTCTAAAGTACGGTTTCTACTACATCATGTACCCCAATCAAAATCCTTCAATAGCTCCCCACTATTTCAGCATCAGATACAAGGTCCTCCATGAACATCCCTGCCCATCACTCCAATGACTCCTTCCCACCGCGTTAAGCTCTGGCAATACCAAATTCCTTCTAGGTTCCAAAACCTATCATGTCATTTTTTTTTTTTACAATCTTTTTTTTTTTTTTTTTAATAAATGCGGGGCCTGAACTCATGACCCTGAGATCAAGAACTGAGCTGAAATCAAGAGTTGGACACTCAACTGACTGAGCCACCCAGGCACCCTCATGTCATTTTCATATATGCTATTCCTTCCTCCTAAAATGCTTTTAATCCTCTTTTTGCCTGGTGATTTCTAATTCGTCCTCTCATTATCTCACTCCAAGTGTCATTTCCTCTAGAAAAAAGAGGACACTGAACCCACAGCAGTATCCCCTTCTTCTGTTAGTGAACATTTCCTACTATAATGAAATTCTTTGTGTGTCCCTCTCCCTACAACCACTGTGTCTTAAGTGCAGTGACTGCACCTTATCCTTGTATTTTTTTGAACATACATACACCAAATTTTGATTTTATCTTTCTCTATTTTCCTCAAAAAATGAGGATAGAAATACGAAATAAACACAGTAAACTCGACTACGTCTGGAATAGCACTTTAGGCTTAAGGGGTCTTAATCACATGCTTAATGTTAATACCACTACCAGTGAACACTCTCCATAAGGATATACATGCATCGTTCAAAATAAAAGGCAGGTGTAGGAATGTCACCAAAGTGTTGATCTACGATGTGTACCTCAAACAAAATCGTTCATGATTCCTTACCCGTGTATTCTGGATAACAGATAGTTAATGGACTCCTCTTTATTTTTTCCTCAAAAAGGTCTTTCTTGTTGAGGAAGAGAATGATTGAAGTGTCTGTAAACCATTTGTTGTTACAAATGCTGTCAAACAGTTTCATGCTTTCATGCATTCGGTTCTGAGGGGGAAAAAAGGGGTGTCAATAGTAAAAAATAAAAGTGGATGAACTGTTAATGAAAAAAACAGACCAACAAGTTTTAGAAGCACTGAATGGCACACGTGGAAATAAGCTAGACACTCATAACACAAAAGCTAAGTCAGTCCTCATTTTCATAATTCTTGGAGGTTGGGAGGTGGGAAGAAGACTGGCTAACAAGAGGACTTAATCCTGCCCACATACTCAATGCACTGTCCTATCTCTTAAGAATTAGTAGGACACAGATCAATATTTTAAAAGTCTAATCTCACAAGGGAAAAAATTAAGGAATCAAGATTTGGTTCAATGAGCAAATGGATACACAAAATCTTCCTAAAAGTTATTTTCCACTTCCCAGCTGCATTAAACAGGCTTTTTACCAGAAGATCCAACATACCATCTCCTCATCCTCAGCCAGAACAAGGTCATAATCACTGAGGGCCACACAGAAGATAATTGCTGTCACTCCCTCAAAACAGTGAATCCACTTTTTTCGTTCTGATCTTTGGCCACCTACATCAAACATCCTGAGTAAAGGGAAAGAATGCACAAATTCAGCAAGGTCACAAATACAGCTCTCCCTAAAGTGAAATGGTTAGGGAACCTCCCACTATTGCGTATTCAAAACCCCATTTACAACAGAAAAGACAAACAGGGAGCAGATAAAACGTAGTCAAACTAATACTCCGTGGTTAAAAGTAAAAGAGAACAACATGAGAAAAAATCTGGGAATAATCAAAATTCTCCTTTCAGATAACTGGGTTCCGCCTCCTCTCTATCAAAGCTTGTATCAGGCGTGCCAAAAGTCAGCAGAATAAGCACTGAAATGGATTAAAGGAAGGAGGGGGGAAGAAAGACAGGAAAAACGAAGAGCTGAATAATATAACATAAGGTAACAACAAGAATACTGACTAATACTTATTGTTTACCATGGTGCCAGACATGATCCTAAACACCTTCAGTACACTAAACTCATTTGACCCTCACAACAATCCTGTAAGTACTATTATCTCCAGTGCACAGATGAAGAAACTGAGGCACAGGTATGTTAAGTACCTAAAGGCACACTACTAACAAATGGGGACTGGGGTTCTAAACCCAGGCACTCTAACTCCAGCACCCAGGCTCTTAGTCACTCTACCCCTCAAAATGCTTTACCTCTTTAGTTAAAGAGAACAATGAAAAAATAGAAATCTCCAACTTACATTCTGCTTCCAAAAAGTTTGTTTTCCTTACTTTTTAACTTTTTTTTTAACTGAGGTATGGCTGAGATATGTTTCCCTTAGTTTAAGGAAAAAATATTTTAGAGATTAATTATGAGGAAAAAGTAAATTATATTTCAGGGTAGGACTCTAAGAACCCAGTATCTAAAAACAAAACATAAAAAAAAACAAAAAACAAAACATAACCAGTATTTCCCAACTCTACGTCTTATTTGAACCTAATTAATAACAACAAAGCCTTAGCTGTTCACAAACTTTATGTTCCACTCCAGATTAGTTTTAGTTCACCACTCCCTTCTGGGGGGCTTACTTGATATCCTGGCTCAACTGCTGTATTTCTGTCAACAGTGTCCTCATCTACCTCCTACAGTAAGAGGAACACCGGCAGTGCTTTGTCTTTTAGCTGGTACCAGTGTCTGAGGAGGTATGCATACAAATGAGTGAAGATAGATGTCTGATGATGAGGACAAAATTTTAAAAGGTCAACTTTGCCAAGCTGATTTAGCATGTCAGATCTAAAGTGACTCAAGGTCTATTTCTTCCAAAGAATTTCCTCCTGGGGATTGAGAGAAATAAGACATACTGAGTAATTTCTCAATGTATGTTTGAAAGAGAATCGTCATCTTATCTCTTTATGACCCAGCCTTTTCTTTTGGTTGATCTAGCAGGTTCTTATTCAGCCTTTGGTCATGTCACCTGGAATGATGCAGTCACAAGCTGGCTTTAATACAGGGTCATATCTCAGGCTTTAGGAAAGCGAACATGACATATATCACTACAGACGTCTTTCAAGGGGAGACACACGCTGGTACATCAATAATTTCAGTTTACCCCTCCGTTTTCTTCTACAAAGTCCATAAAACTAGTAGAATACTGTGACGTCCCCAAGGTGGGCTTTTAGCACATATTAACATTTACAATATGATTCACTAACAGATCAACATTTTATAAACATTACCTCATAACTGAGAGGCAAGTAAGCAATTACACAATGCCTTGCATATAGTAGATGCTCAATAAATGTTTGAATAAATGGATAGTGGTTTTGCCTAGAGAGAAGAGGAAAAGGAAGAAGTGATAGTACTTCATAACAAGATATCTACATACCAACAATAAAGTGGGTACAACACTTTAACTAGATCTGGCTATCGATCCTGACATAAGAAGACCAAGAGGATTTACCCAACTAAAGATCAATCTATGACAACATCAACAAGAATGCTTCCCACACTAAATAAAGTTCACCACATTTAATTATAAATGGATTACTAATCTTATAGTACACAAAAAGACATCTCATTCTTATGGTTGCACGGGTGACAGAAATCCATATGGCCTTTGCTACTCCAGTTAAATAAAGTCATCAGTGCTAAAGATAAGCAGCTCTTCTATTCTACAAATATTCAGCTGAACTGCTATTTTCCTACACCATGTTTCTGACCTGTTTCGGTTTATTAAGATTTCAAGACCTCAAGTGGTATCTAGTTAATACCTAAACTCTGTATGGATTTCCCAAATCCTGTGAAGCAACTGTTTTCAGAGAAAAGAACATGGAGAAGCTCTGAGCTAGAAGTTACATTTGCGTGCGACAGTGCTGAGTATCACAGACCACATACGAGCGTAATGAGGCAGCTGGAACAAATACATATTGAAGGGGAAAAGTTTACCCCTAATCTCAAAGGTCACAAAAGCAGGAAGTGGGAACCAAAAAGACAGTTCTAATATTTACAAAAGACCATTAACGCAAAGACAAGCCGAAGCCTATTTCAGAATGACTAATGCTAATGAGAAAGTCCTCTGTATTCATGTACTAGAATTTTCTCTCTATAAAAACCACTTTTTATGTCATTATACTTAGCCAAAATACCTTTATCGCCGTATCAATTTTCCATTCTATACTACAGCAAGAACTTAGTTTACATGATACTGTGCACAAATCAGTCCAAGAACCATGACGGTATTAGCTCCATTCCATTAAACCTAAATGCGCTTCGGTAAGGACCAACACGGGTGAGTAAAGCATTTCTATTTTATTATCAAAATGGCAGAACAAAGCCACATCACTAAGTATCTATCCTTAGTATTGTTGTTACCCTTCTAAACAACAAACATTCAATACCTGTTTTGACGATTCCAACAAAAAAGCAGCTGAAAAGAATAAAATTAAAAATAAAATAAAATGATAACCATATGATTACTTTTATTGCTATTTATAATTTAATTTTGAATTTAAATTCCTCCAAATGGACAAAAGTATTTGATGCTATCTGGAGAAAGAAGAAAGGCCTGGGCCCCCATTCAGTTAAAACATTCAAATACCAACTGATGAATATGATGGCAGGTTTTTAAACCAAAGATTATTGCCTAGAGAAATTCTGCCCTGATTAAGAGATACGAACTAAAGTAAAGATATTTGTCTTTCACACATCTAACAAAAAGGTTAATGCCTTACTTGAAGTATAGGTCTTTGAAGGTGAAATGCGTTTCCACAATGCCTGTGGTCTTCACTCTTGTCCGCAGGACATCTTGCTGAGTTGGAATGTAGTTGGTTTGGGATATTCTATCCAAATCATTTAGGTAACTAAATAAAACACACAATTATTTTTACCTGGTGAAGCCAACCATGTACATAGCAAATGAACAGACTAAACTAGTTCCTTCCCAAAAGATTCTGAACCTGTCATATAAAGTGGCAGAACAAAATCAGAGCTTCAGTATCACAGAAATGATGAGAAAAAGTGTGAACCTCGAATAGGACAACTGAAGTAAGCTCTATATACGTTACACAAAAGTGGTTTTAATTCTACCAAAATTAAGCTGTGAAGGCCAATTAAAAGCAAACAAATACGGAAATGTTACTCTTATTATAAAAAAATTTCTGGGGCACCTGGCTGGCTTAGTCAGTAGACCATGTGACTCTTGATCTTGGGGCTGTGAGTTCAAGCCCCATGTTGGATGTAAAGATTACTTAAAAAAAATCTTGAAAAAAAAAATCTTGGAGAAAGAAAAAGATTGCTGAAACTTAATGCTAAATACTGAATCAACTGTGTGTTGCACAGTACAAAACCAAACCAAAAGCCCTCAGATATTTAAAGTTAATGGGTCATTTGTATGTTCCTACATTTGATAGGACATTCGAGAATGGTGTTTGAATTACTAAAACTAAAATAAGAACTATGTTCAATAAGAATGAGTATTTCTTGCGTTCACTCATGAAACAGAAAAGTTGTCGTTTTTTTTAATCTAAGTCAAAAACAAATTGTAAATACTTCCAAAGAAATGTAATTTATTCAGTGAAATAATTAAAAGACTGCTTCAAAGCTAAATTAATTTTTTTTAAAGCTAAACTAAATTTTTGGTAATTTCAGGATTCCTAAAGATTTTTTGGCTAGAAAACTGAAGAACAGGTGGCACTATTATAAGTGAATCATTAACAAGCTTTTATGAAAGTACTACCATTAATGTTAAGGAATCAGTCAAGCCTAGATCAAACATTATGGAAAAAAAAAACCTCTATAAATCACATGTTCTCTGGTGTAGTTAAAGGATTCAGAGCTTAATGAATGTATGATAGAAAAAATAGTAATATAGCTTTCATGACTATTGGGAGAATTATTGAAACTACCAACATAAGCAACTAAAAAATATTTAAAAATGGGAAGAATCCTGAAATGTCTCTAGTAAAGTTTTCATTTCAAGAATAACTAAGTTTTTCAAATATAATTTAACTCCTTCCTATCATAACTTAAACAAGAATGAAGGATAGGAAAATAGAATATTGGAGAAAATACCTTAATGCTTAAAAGTGTCCCCAATTAGTACAGAGATAGAGTTACCAAGAACTCTCCAAGTCCCCAAAAGGCAGATTAAAAAGTACATTCTGAATATAGGTCTTTATAAATAAACATGTTGTAAAAGAAGGAAAATAGGGTAGCATAATAGCCTTGCTCAAGTATTAATTACAAATTCTCTCAAACTATGTAACTCTTAAGAGAATTTCCTTGACAAACAGATGCTTTGACTTCCTTCCAAGACTCAACATTCTCTTTCTGTACAAAGTCTACTATTGTGATCTGGCAAAAGATTTATCAGTGGTGACTGGTACCAAAGAAGTCCATAGTGCAGCCCGGCCACAGAGTTGGGTGCATAAAAAGGGGTATCACAATTCTAATTTCCCTCACTAGCTGGCAATTAATGCAAAGTCCTTAGCAGAGGGAACTTGAAGAGATCCAGGATCCAGCTGCAAAAGATTTCTCTCCTCTTTAACTTCCTTATTATAAACTACCATGGTGCCAATTCTCCCATTTACATTCCAAGAGGCAACGTTTTTCTCCAAGTCATACAAAATGACCAAGGGCTATATAACCCTAAACTGAAACCATCTTCACAAGGGATGCTATAGACTTCTAAGAGCATCTGTTACTCAAATGTTTTAAGGACAGACCCTAAACTTTCTTAGGGTCACCAAATTATTTTGTTATGGAAAAATTACTTACTATGAAGCAGAATCATTGAGCTGATACTCCCTGGATCTGCTGAAGCAAGCTTGCACCCCACCGTCTCGCCATAACCGTTTAATCACTCCTGCTAGTTCTGGAGTCATGACTCCTTCTTCAGCACTGCCCGCCAAAACAAATAATTGCCGGGCATCATCCTGAAGAAAGCAGTTAAGAAAGAGAGACAAATGATTCTCCACTTCTTAAAGACTTGACACAAGAGTCTCTCTAAATAAAACAAAAGCACATTATATGTTTCACTATTTTAAGACAAGTATTAGAGACCTTTCCAGGCAGGGCAGTCTGAGAGAATTTACAATGAAGTCACTCCCCCTACTCACTCCACTGTAGTTAGAAGTGCAGAGCCGAGCTGAGGAATGATTTCAGTCCCCCTACCACATACCACCATCTCCTAAAAAGACCTCTTCTGACTGGCCTACAAATCTCCACCCTACTTACTCATGATTTTTTTTTAAAGATTTTATTTATTTATTTGACAGAGAGAGAGAGAAGGGGGGAGCAGGCAGAGGAAGAGGGAGAAATAGGCTCCCCGCTGAGCAGGGAGCCCAACACGGGCTGATCCCAGGATCCTAGGATCATGACCTGAGTCGAAGGCAGATGCTTAACTGACTGAGTCACCCAAGCGCCCCAATCATGATTTTTTGACAGAAAAACTGGTCTGTGAGATAGGCATATGTAACACATTCCCATTCTGTTAAAGGAAGTCTACAATAAAAATAGAAATGAAAAAACTACCATATAAGAGGTAAAGTCTAAACACGTCAGAGGGAGTAAAATATTAATCGAGTTTAAGGAAAAAGTGTTCTCTTCTTCCCCCTTCAGCTCAGACAGAACAGGAAGAAGAGGAGACTGAGTTATTTAAGAAGTCTGGAAGCCTAGTGAGGGAAATAAATCCCTCAGGGAAAAATTCAGTTTCTAGATTCCCCAAAGAATAATAATCCTCTAAGGCGGGAGGGTGGGGGAGACAGTAAGAGGAAAGGAAAGTTACAAAGAGATTTGATCAAAACTCATGAGTCAAGGGATGCCTGGGTGGCTCAGTTGGTTAAACCTCTGCCTTCAGCTCAGGTCATGATCCCAGGGTCCTGGGATCGAGTCCTGCTTCAGGCTCCCTGCTCAGCGGGGAGCCTGCTTCTCCCTCTGCCTGCCGCTCCCCCTGCTCGTGCTCTCTCTCTCTCTCTGACAAATAAATAAAATCTTTAAACAACAACAACAAAAAACTCATGAGTCAAAAAGCTTTGTAAGTGGCTAACAGTTTTGTGAGTTCGAGCCCCACTTTGGGTGCAGAGATTACTAAAAAAATAAATAAAATCTTTAAAAAAACTGAATAAACCCAAGTCTCATGGGATGCTTTCCCCATCTCAAATCTCATATTTGTCTGCCTCAAGGAGAGTTCCAAATAACTAGTAAAAGGCACATACTAAAAAAATACCTATACCGGGTAAAGAAAAAGTAAAGGGGGAAGAGGAGCAATCAGTTGTATCCTAAGTAGTCATTAGGACAATAAACTAGCAAGCAAAAAGCATTTCCGACCACACATGAAATCACAACCCAAAACTCCTAAGACTTGTGTGTTCCCAAAACTCATGCACCCACCTAAGTAAAACAAAACAAAACTAACCATTGTGCACTCCAGTTAATGCTGCCAAACTCGGGGTCTTCAGCCAAGTAACAGCCCTCCTTTATAAGGTGCTTTCCTGCATTCTTTCTAGTAATACTTTATGTCCAACCCTCTCTAAGAAACTGCATCTAACGTCTATATTCCCCTCTTCTTTCAGAGATAAAAATTTTAAATAAGGGAACAAATGACTGAGGGAAGTTGAAAAATTACACCAACTGGCAAACATACTCAGTATTAAGCATGTCCTTCTATGTATATAGTGCTTTATTTAACGCGTAAAAACATTATAGCCCATTCTGAAATTTGAACTACACTCATACAGCTATTCAAAAGCCTCAATAATCATTACTTTTTTAATAGCACAATTTAATTTTAGAAACTTTAAAATAGAGAGTTATTGCTACATATTTCTGCTGTCCTGACTTTGTAAACACAGTTTTAAGGGGAAGCACTTTTCCCTTACCACTTAATCTCTTCCACTGACCTACTCTTGCTTTTCCACAATAAGCCCTCTTATAGGCCTTTAAGGAGGCCCCTCTTTACAATGAACTTCATACCTCTACCCTTAAGCAGATATGAAAAAGCAACCTACCCCTCATCTGGCTCTATTCTTGTCCATTCACTCTCTAATCAACCATAAGAAACCAGACCAGGATAAGTGAGGAACTAGAAATAAAAACCCTTACATATGGAGGAAAAAAAAGGAAACTTCAAAAAATTACATAGGGTTGTAGATTAGGATGGGTGGATGCTGGAATACTAGGTGATTCAGGAGGCCTAACAGGAATTAAGGAGATGCTGGCTGCATCTGGGGATATAGGAGTGTTAACACCCAAAGATAAATGACACTTATTTGATAAAGGGAAGCAATAAAAGGATGAGGGATGCTATGGTCTGAATGTTTATGTCCCTCCAAAATTTGTATGTTGAAATCTCAATGCCCAATGTCACAGTATTTGAAGATGGGGCCTTGGGGAGGTACTACAGTCATGAGGGTGGAGGCCCCATGAATGGGATGAGTGCCCTTATAAAAGGGACTCGAGAGAGCTCCTCTTGCCTTCTGTCATGTGAAGACACAGTGAGAAGCCTACAACTGAAGAGGGACCTCATCTGACCATGCAGCACTCTGATCTCAGACTTCCAGCCCCAGGAAGTGTGCACAATAAATGTCTGTTGTTTACAATCTACTACATCTGTGGTATTTTGTTACAGCAGCGCAACTGGACAAAGACAGAAAATGTCAACTGTATTGGTGACAAAGTAGTGTGAGGACCCAAACACTGATAACAACCAATTTGACAATGGAAAGAAATGAGAGGAGGAGGGATGATCAAGAGATATAAAGGAGGACAGACGGTTAGAAATAAAAAAGGAAGAAACAAAGAGAAGGTGTAAATAACTGAGACGGAGAAAAAGTCAGCAAAGACAGGAAAAGAACTAAATACAGTGGCATCAACCAGTTACCAGATCGGGCGAACATGAACATGACAGAGACACAGAGTTCGGTGACAGGGAGGGATGAGAAAATAAGAACACTGGAGAGCGCTGGGGGCGGGGGCAGAGGGAAGAAAGGAAAAGACGGAAAGAAAAGCAGGAGGCAGAGAAAGGAAGGAAAGATGTAAGACAGAGATGCCTTGTTTATTCTTGCACTCGCTGTCCTATTTCCCCCTCCCAGAGGCTTAGAAAAATAAAGTCTCTAACTGTGATATGGCACCTTTTTTAAACAAAAACATAAAAGTTGTGCCTCACATATTTCCTTGTCCCCTCTTCTGCTGCTCTTCCCTTCAATCACTTTATAATCCTTACCCCAGCTCCTCTTCCCTTATTCCACTTCCAGGATTTCTAGTTGAATACCATCCAATTAGAACCATCCTTTTGTGATTTCTCCCATCAACAATTTCACCACTTGTTTACTGAGTATTAATTTGCATTAATAATAGCTTGTTAATTGATAAATTGAGAGCAGCTAAGAGGTCCGAAGCTACTTCAGAGACACATAGGCTTTCCCTTTCCAGGCAGCCTTCCCAAGTCACCTCTTTCCATTGTCCACAGCGCCTGAGACCAACACTGTGAACACGGCTCATGACTCCCTTAGTTCTAGGAAATCATTCTCTCCATTCCCGGCCTTCTCTTAGGAGTACAGCTGGAGATGTGAAAGATCTCCTGCCTTCATTCTGGCCCTCTCCCCACTGCATCAAACATCCTAATTGACAAACAAGAACTTCACGGTGCACTAAGTATTATAATTAATCAACACAACTTTTGAATATCTGACGTGCAAGAACTATCCTAGGACATGGTATAATCCAACTGTATAGGTTTATAGTCCAATGCAGTACAGGGATATGGAATTTTTGAATGCCTAAAAATTGTCCCTATAATTGTGACTAAATGTTCATGTCCTTCTCAAGTATGTTTCAGGAGACTGATATTTGCCTTTTATCTTTACACCGCAGAAAAGCAGAGCTACCTCTTTTAGATTATTTCAATTAACTAGCATTTACTACTATAAAATAAGACAGTGCTATAAAAGAAGTGAATAAAAAACAGCTGTCACAGAAACCTACAGGATATCCACAAAATCCCATTTCCTTGACTCTTCTCTGTGGTGGTAATCTTATATCTCCTAAAGCAGATTGCTAATACTTCTCAAATGAGCACACAGTACTTGCTACATCTTATCTTGTTGTTTGAATTCACTTCCCTAAAACAGGAAGCAAAATTTTGCTTAACTGCATCTACTAGAAGAAAGCAAGTGAAGAAGAAATGAGAAACACTTACTGCTCTGGCAGCTTCCCCAAAGTCAATCTTTAGCCGTCCCATGGCTCTTATGATTGCAATGATGGACTGTATAGTATTGCTGTAGACAACTACTTTATATTGTTTACATTCTTCCTCTGAATAGCCATCCTCATGAATGATTCTTTAAAAAGAAAACCACAAATCATTACCACAGACCTAAAAAAAAAAGATACTATGGACTTTCATGCATTATGAAGAAATGTAGTTTTATAAAAGGCCATGTTCCAACTTACTTCATCTGTTTCACGATGGTGCTTTTACCAGATTCTCCAGCACCTGAAAGAAAGAAAACTAGACTTTGAATTCACTTGTAATCAAACACAAAGTATGAAATCAACATGAGTGATAATCCTAGATTCATGGAAACCACAGGTCCCATGGAAAACTTAGGTGAGGCTATCTAACCATTAAGCTTTCCTATTAGAGTTTTTTACTTTAACGTAACTCAGCAACCATATAAAACCATATAAACCATATAAAAGTAAAAGTAGCCCAGAACCCACTTGATATCATTTGTGTAAAGGAGGCATGCTCAAGGAGATATGGCAACATAAACACCTCTAGGAACTCATCCTCTACAAGAAATAACATGATACAGAAACTGAACATAGGCAAAAATGAAATGATTCGGTTTTGGCCTATTTGCTTTTATCAACTTCTCTATCAATATCCATGGATCTGAGGAATGTTCCAAGAGCAATCCTCTCAGCCATGTGACTAGAGTTCAAAATAGAAACAGAGGAGGCGTCATCCCCACTGTTTTTTCACTGCATATGCTCTCAAGACCACATTTCCCTCATCTGTCTCCCAGAATCACTTTAATGATAACCAATGTCAGATCAGCTCCTGGAACTCCTTGACATTTCACTTGCATTTCCCTAGTCAATTCATTATCCCACCTTCCAAGATGCCTATTTCATTTCCTCTCTCTTTCAAATCTTACAAACTCCTTCCCACTTTTGACTCTCACCTGATAATCTTGCCTTTTATTGGAAAAATTAAAGCACTCAAAAACCAAATCCACCAATCTATCTGTAATCCCCACTAATATTCTCTACCTTCATCAATGGATGAAGGGTCCCTGCCAGTATCTAAGACTAATCCCTCCATCTGTGCCCTAAACCACCTGATTTTACCTACTCTAGGTCTTGGCTACTGTAACTATCCCATGTCACTAATATGTGAAGTTTTCTCTTCCTACTGGGGAACTCTCATCAGTATACAAACTTGCTCCATTATCTTCCATTTTAAATCAACACACACCCCACTCCAACCTTTCCTTGACTCCGCATATTGGTGGACTACCACTCTATTTTCTCTCTTCCTCTTTATAGAAAAACGCCTCTGAGTTGTCTATACTCATGTTCTCCAATTCTGTACTTCCAATTCTCTCCTTAACCCACTCCAATCAGATATTCATATCCAACACCAACTGAAACCACTTTCCATGGTGTCCAACAACTTCCATTTTAACAAACCTATTGATCAATTCCAGGTCCTCATCTTACTCAACCTCTTGAGCAGAATTTATCCAATGATGACTTCTCCCCTTGAAATGTGTTCTTCACTAGGCAGGCTTCCAGACCCCACATCCTCCTGGTTGGACCCCTACCCCACTCCTCAGTCTCCTCCTTCCTATCTCTGAATCTTAAAGGTTGTATTATTTGAGCACTCCTTCCTTGGGCCCTTTTCTCTACCTACATTCATTCCCTAGGTCATCTCATCTGATCTCCTGGTCTTAAACACCATTCATAAATTGACAGTGATAGTTACTATCTAGTGTGTACTGCATGCCAGATGCTGTTCTAAGCACTTTGCTTTTATTAATTCATTTAATTCTCACAATAACCCGGTGAGGCAAACACTTATTATCTCCATTTTATAGGTGAGGTAAATGAAGCAGAGAGCTGCCAAGTTAACTTGTCCACAATTCAAGTCAGTAAGTGGCAAAGCTGAAATCTGTATTCACACAGTTTGCCTCCAAAGTTGTTGTATACTGCCTCTATGCTGATGATTTCCAAACTTGTATCTCTAACCTTGGCTCCAGAGTCATACATCTAAACCGCCTACCTGATAAATCTCATTAGACTTCTAAGAGGCATCTCAAACTTAAAATGACCCAAATTGCGTTAGTTTCCCCATCCTTACCCCCAAACAAACCCTGCTCCGCCCTGTTTTCCATCTCAGTAAATACCAGCACTCACCCAGTTGCTCAGGCCAAAAATGTAACTAATGTTACATGTAACATGTAACTAATATACAAATGGAATGTGGGTGCCAGGACCAATATGTACATCAAATATTAATAAAGCTTAATTTTTTAAAAATAAGTATAAATACAGTTGTAACAGTTTTTTTATGCACCACATGGATCATCATGAATACACTGGAAACCACAAGCCTGGATCACTGTTAATCTTCCTAAATGGTCCACCGCTTGAGACCTTGCCCTTCCTATCGCTAGTTTTCCACTCAGTAGCTGCACTGAATTTTGTAAAAAATCAAATCATGTCACAACTCTGTCCCCAGATTTGGACTACACAGGTCCACTTATACACTTTTTTTTTTCCGGTAAGTACAGTACAGTATTGTAATATTTTCTTCATAAGTTTCTTTTCTCTAGCTTTATTGTAAGAATGCAATATATGACACATATAACATACAAAATATATGCTAACTGACTATATTATCAATAAGACTGCCAATCAACAGTAGGCTATTAGTTAAATTTTGGGGGGAGTCAGAAAGTTATACGAAGATTTTCCAGTATGTGGGGTGGGGGGGTGCTGACACCCCTAACTCCATGTCGTATATCAACTGTACACTCAAAATAAAATCCATGGGCAATAAGGTCAAACATGCTCTGCCCCTGCCGATCACTTTACCCTCAATTCCTATCATTCTCCACTTCATTCTCTCTGCTCTTGTCAGACCAGTTTTCTTGCCTTTCTTCCAACATACCAAACTGGTTCTCAATGAGCTAGATCCTGACTCATGCTCTTCGCCATTTACTATTCCATCTGCCCGGAGTAACTTTTTACAAGATTTTCTTCTTCCCGCAAAACAGCCTTTCCTGACTAATCTATCTAAATAGTCCCCACCCCATCATACTCTCTCTCCTCACTCTAGGTTGTATTTTTTCAAAAGCTCTTATCACTTCACGGTACAATTTGTTCATTTCCTATCCCACTAAAACATAAACCCCATAATGGTTTATTCATCCTTGTATTCCCAGGCCCTAGAACTGGGCGTGACATAAATTGGCTAGGCAAGTAAGTATTGTTGAACAGATACATCACCAATGCTTAATAAGCATGATCCTTTAATAAATATTTCTCAACTCTATCAACCAAACTGTTAGTTAAAATAAAATTCAAATAATTTAAAAATTCCAAGGATCTACATTTTTACAGACTCAAAAGGACATCTCGATTTGACTTTACCTCTGCTCTTATCATCTAATAATAATTAGGGGTAGCACTAAATGTTTATGTAACACACAAAGAACTTTTTTTTTTTAAAGATTCTGTTTGTCAGCGAGAGAGCACAAGCAGGGGGAGCGGCAGAGGGAGAAGCAGGCTCCCTGCTGAGCAAAGAGCCCGATGCGGGACTCATCCCAGGACCCTGGGACCATGACCTCAGCCGAAGGCAGTCGCTTAAGTGACTGAGCCACCCAGGCGCCCTCACAAAGAACTTTTTATTTATTTTTTAATTTTTTTGTTATGTTAATCACCATACATTACATCATTAGTTTTTGATGTAGTGTGTTCCATGATTCATTGCTTGCGTATAACACCCAGTGCTCCATGCAGAACGTGCCCTCTTTAATACCCATCACCAGGCTAACCCATCCTCCCATCCCCTCTCCTCTAGAACCCTCAGTTTGTTTTTCAGAGTCCACAGTCTCTCATGGTTCGTCTCCCCCTCCGATTTCCCCCCTTCATTCTTCCCCTCCTGCTATCTTCTTCTTCTTCTTCTTTAACATATAATGTATTATTTGCTTCAGAGGTACAGATCTGTGATTCAACAGTCTTGCACAATTCACAGCGCCCACCACAGCACATACCCTCCCCAATGTCTATCACCCAGCCACCCCATCCCTCCCACCCCCCACCACTCCAGCAACCCTCAGTTTGTTTCCTGAGATTAAGAATTCCTCATATCAGTGAGGTCTTATGATACATGTCCTTCTCTGATTGACTTATTTCGCTCAGCATAATACCCTCCAGTTCCATCCACGTCGTTGCAAATGGCAAGATTTCATTCTTTTTGATGGCTGCATAATATTCCATTGTATATATATACATCTTCTTTATCCATTCATCTGTCGATGGACATCTTGGCTCTTTCCACAGTTTGGCTATTGTGTACATTGCTGCTATAAACATCGGGGTGCACGCACAAAGAACTTTTTAAATGATACTGTTAGAAAGAAGTGCTTTCTCCAGGGGCACCTGGGTGGCTCAGTCAGTTGAGTAGCCAACTCTTAATTTTGGCTCAGGTCATGATCTCAGGGTCCTGGGACTGAGCCCTGCATCCCCTCAGGCTCTGTGCTCAGTAAGGAATCTGCTTAAGGATTCTCTCCCTCCCCCTCTGCCCATCCCCTCTCCCCACTTCAGCTCGCCTGCCTGCATGCATGCTCTCTCTCCCTCTGAAACAAATCTTTTAAAAAAGTGCTTTCTCGGGCGCCTGGGTGGCTCAGTTGGTTAAGCGACTGCCTTCGGCTCAGGTCATGATCCTGGAATCCCGGGATCGAGTCCCACATCGGGCTCCCTGCTCAGCGGGGAGTCTGCTTCTCCCTCTGACCCTCTTCCCTCTCGTGCTCTCTGTCTCTCATTCTCTCTCTCTCAAATAAATAAATAAAATCTTAAAAAAAAAAAAAGTGCTTTCTCCCACGCATATCTACCCAAAAAAAAAAAATTGATTCAATTCTGAAGAAGAGAATACAAAAGCATACTAGCTATATTTTAAATACTAGCTTAAAACACAGAATTCCCAGATGATCCCATGTTAGCACCAGCTACTAACTTTACTAGGTAAAGCAGAGATTAATGAAGTAATGTTCACCATTCTTTTACATATTGAAAACAGGATTTCTTTTACTTTTTTTTTAAGATTTTATTTATTTATTTGACAGAGAGAGACATAGCGAGAGAGGAAACACAAGCAGGGGGAGTGGGAGAGGGTGAAGCAGGCTTCCTGCCGAGCAGGGAGTCCAATGCGGGGCTCGATCCCAGGACCCCGGGATCATGACCTGAGCCGAAGGCAGACGCTTA